GTTTTCCTTAACCAATTATGTTCTTTAATGCAAGGCCGACAGACAAGTTCCTTACTTTCTCCTCCTTCCACTTTCCTCTTCCATTTTTGCGGTAAGGCTGCAATTATTTGGTTGTAATTTTGGGTAGAGCAGACATTTCCATATGTTTTTGTTAGCTGCATGTGCGACATAACTCCACCAGTCCTACGGATGATATCATTTACAAAGATTATACCTTTTTTAAACATTTTGTTAAAGAATGCATTTTGCTTCTGCATTACCCATATATTCGTTTAAGGTCATACAATGGCAGAGTGTAGTAACAACATTTTAGGGGTCATAGGTCAGATCAGTGGTCATGTTTGATATGCATAAAATGACTTCATAATAATATAATACATTAGTGCATCATCACTTATCTACCTACACCATATTTGGCTGGACAGCAAAAAAACTTTAAAACCATTTTTCTCAGTCTCGCTGTTTGCGAAGTTACTGCTCTTTACCTTTCTAGGGCAGTATAGGCCTACACTACGAGCTGAATAATTAAATGTTTTACATTTTAGTCATTTAGCAGACGCTCTTATGCAGAGCGACTTACAGTTAGTAATTAATTAACTTTAATGCATTCATAATCAAGGCAGATGGTCATATAGATTACAGTAGGCCTACAGTAAACCATTAGGTTGAAAGAAAGACAGTGGGGCTCATCACAATACAATGTCTGAGGCTGGTGATGCCCAGCTCACTACCTGGATAGACACGAACAGGGCCTCTTGCATTTAAATACACATGGTATGGAGAAAGATCAAATCAAATTTAATTTGTCACATGTTCTGTATACAACAGGTGTAGACCTTACCGTTACTTACAAGCCCTTAACCAACAATGCCGTTTTAAGAAAAATAAGAGTTAAGAAAATATTTACTAAATAAACTGAAGTGACATACTATAAGGGACTATACTATTAAGTTAGAATTTCTTCTACATTAATTCTGTCATCCTTAGAAAGTTGGAGTAGATTTTCAGTCCATTACTACAAGACTGGGTTTTCAAACTATTCACTGGACGTTTCTAAGAATAACATGTTAACTTTGAAGAGCATCCCTTGGGATTTTAGGTCTGAAAGAAGACTGCCAACATTTCCCCAAGGATGTTCCAAATTATGTTCTGATGTGTTTTGAGGGTGCATGTTTGGGTTTTGTTCCAGAAAATGAGAGGTTATTGAAATTACTCTAACATGTCAGGACTAGTCCCTATCACACTAGCCCATATTAGACTCCTCTTATCACCTCTCAGCCACTCAGGAAATGCTGCAACAATGGGATGTACAGGGAAATGGCTGCATTATCTTCTTCTGCAAGCCCACATCCGGATATACAAAAGTGAAACCAGAGCGTATTATGCCATAATAAACCATATGAAATGTTCATGAATGTACCCCCTCTGTTACCCTTGTTTTACAGTTTTTTCACATGTATGTTAATATAATATATGCCATTTAGCAGATGCTTTTATCCAATGCAACTTACAGTCATTTGGCATTCATTTCACGTTCAGGTGGTCCCTGGAATCGAAACCAATATCCTGGCATTGCAAGCGCCATCTTCTACCAACTAACCATATTAGAATGAGCAGTCTGGTACAATTTGCATATAACACATTGACTCCAAAAATGTAATATTTGTTCATTATTTACAACATTTTAATATAACAATGATATTTGAAATTGATCACTCTAAAGTCAGCAAAATTATTTGAATTTGCCACAATAAAACACTACTTATAATCAACATACTTGCAAAGGTCAATACTTACATTTTTTATTTCACAATAATCATGCGAGACCATAATAAATTATGTGTAGTGCACTTTAACTACATCTCTAATGTGAAAATAATGGCCACTGGTATGTAGTGCGATGGCAGGAATATGTGAGTGGGAGGTATGGGAGGAGTCGACAGTAGGGAGTGATCATTACCCAATGGTATGCACAGTAGGCCGGAGGGAAGAGGAGGTGTTAGTGGATCGAGTAGGCAGGTGGGTGTTTGGAAGGGCAAAGTGGGATCAGTTTCAGGAGCTGAGTGAGCAGGTGATGGCTTGGGTGGATATGACAGGGGATGTAGATAGTATGAATTACTGGGTGAGTACAGCTTTAGTGGGGGCAGCTACTGAGGCTATACCTAAGAGTTCAGGGAGGAGGAGGAGGAGGAGGAAAGCAGTCCCATGGTGGACGGAGGAATATGGTGCAATGGTGAGGAGTAGGAACAGGGCATTTAGAGTACTGAATACTGAACTTCCAACATCTGATTCAGTATAAGCAGGGCCATGGTGAGGAGAACTATCCGTCAGGCAAAGAGGTCATGTTGGCATCGGTTCTGTGACACCATTGGAAGGGCGACACCTGTGGGAGAAGTGTGGGGGATGATTAAGAGGATGAGTGGGGTCAGAAGAGAGTGGGATTATCCAGTGTTGACGAGTGGGGAGGATGTGGCAGTAACAGATGAGGAGAAAGCAGAGATGATGGCCAAAGCATTTGTCCAAGTGCATAGCTCCGCAGATATGTCAGAGGAGGGGCAGAGGGGGAGAGAAAACACGAGAGAGGAGCACCCTGGAGTGCTGGAAAGGAGGGAGGATGTAAATGATGCGTTGAATGCACCATTTACCAGTGCGGAGGTGAAAAGAGCAATAGGTAAGGCTGGGTTAACTTCACCTGGGAAAGATGAGGTGTGCTATGTTATGTTGGCCCATCTTAGTGATGAGGCACTGGATAAGGTATGGATCCAGTGCTCTGCTTAGAAGCAGAGGTCAGGAAGGCTCAGGTGAACAAAGAGACTGTTGTAGCTGTCTTTTTTGATGTGGAGAAGGCTTATGATATGATGTGGAAGGAGGGGTTGTTAATCAAGCTTGATATTATAGGGGTAGGAGGAAGAACGTACAACTGGATAAAGGATTTCCTGTTTGGAAGGTCTATCCAAGTGAGGGTGGGGAAGTCTTTATTAGGCAGCTACTTGGAGGATAACGGTACACCAGAGGGGAGCGTGATTAGTCCTCTGTTGTTCTCAATCATGATCAATGATGTTTACTCTCAGGTACAGCCGGATATAGGGAGGTCGTTATTTGCAGATGATGGGGCCTTATGGAAGAGGGGAAGAAATGTGCCATACATAGTCAGGAAGGTACAGGAAGCAATTGATGTGGGGATTCAGGTTCTCTGTAGAGAAAACTCAAACAGTGTTCTTTACCAGGAGGAAGGTGGGAGATGAGGTATGCTTGAGGTTATATGGGAGAAACTTGGAGAGGGTGGGGGCCTTCAGGTTCCTTGGGGTATACTTTGACACTAGACTGACCTGGGCAGAACACATTGAGAGAGTGGTGGGAAAGTGTAAGAAGGTGCTAAATGTGATGTGCTGTCTGACGGGGAAGGAGTGGGGGGCTGGGCGTTCCTCATTGAAGACCATGTATGTTGCATTGATCCGATCTGTAATAGACTATGGCAGTATAGCATATGGTTCGGCAGCCCGGACCTCACTGGAAAGGCTAGATGTCATACAGGGGCAAGGACTCAGAATATGTAGTGGGGCGTTTCGGACATCCCCAGTGGCTGCATTACAGGTGGAGATGGGGGATATGCCATTGCAGATTAGGAGACAGCAGCTGGAAATTAATTATTGGGTCAACCTACAAGGACATGGGGTGTCTCATCCTGCGAAAAGGATTTTACAGGCATGTTGGGAACATGAGCGAAGACAGAACACGAGCTTTGGGTGGGTTGGTAATTCCCAGTCGAAGGAGATGGGACTGTATGGAAGGGAGTTTAGTCCAACTGTAGTTATTCCTCTAAATCCACTATGGCTACTCCCGCTTCAAGTAGTTGATCTAGAAGTGTTGGAGAGACTACAGAAAGATAGGGAGGGTGTTGATCCAGCTGATTTCTTTAAGAGATGTCTGGAAACTGTGTATCAGGATTTTGTGGCCATTTACACAGATGGTTCAAAAGATCCAAGGACAGGACATACTGGGTCAGCATTTGTAGTGCAGGAATGTGGGGTGGAAGTCAGGAAACGTATTACAGATCATCTGGCTGTATATACGGTGGAGCTGATGGCCATACTGTTGGCCTTGCAGTGGGTGGAGGAAGTCAAACAAGACAGAGTAGTTATTTGCTCTGATTCATGTGCAGTGTTAATGAGTCTCCAGTCCTTTAGCTCACATAGCAGACAATACCTGCTTTATGAGGTGCTACAAACCCATGGCAGGATTCAACAGATGGGTATTCAGATAAGAATTATTTGGGTCCCAGTCCATGTGGGGGTGGAGGGGAACGAGGCGGTAGATGAACAGGTTAAACAAGCACTTAGTAGTGGGTATGTTGATGTTGAAATTTCAATGAGCAAGGCAGAGGCAAAAAGACTGATATATACCGTGATGGTGCAGAGATGGCAGGAGCAGTGGAATAGAGATAATAAGGGAAGGCATTTATTTCAAGTACAGAGGAAAGTCGGGGAGGGGAGGACGGCAGGAAGGGACAGAAGAGAGGAGGCTATTTTTACAAGATTAAGGGTGGGACACAGCCAGTTGAATAAGACATTAAATGTGATAGGAAAGCATCCATCAGGAAAGTGTGATTATTGTCAGGAAATAGAGACCGTGGCGCATGTATTGCTACAGTGTGGGCAGTATCAGAGGGAAAGAGAGAGGATGAGATCTAGTATGAAGGGGATACAGTTATTAGTTTAAAGAGTATATTGAGTAGAACGTCATTAGATATAGTCTAAAATATTTTGTTATCTTTTTAGTAGAAACGTGGTTGGCAGGTAGGATTTAATTTCTCCCTGTCTCTGGCCCACACTCCAGTACAGTAGGTGGCGGTAATGCACCATAACGTTGGATGCCGACTGCCGATAAACCCCACTGAAGAAGAAGAATAAACGTCCAACCCAAATGCTACAACAACAAACATCTTTAGGACGTTGATAGTACGTTTGTTTTGGTATTATATTGTAATAAATAAAGATACAATGACAGGAAAGACGGCGAAAGACCTTTTGCAGATGGACCTGTATGGTCTACTGGGTATTGAAAGCACAGCGACTGCGAAAGAGGTGAGTGATAGCTAGCTAACGTTAGTTTGCGAACTTTGACGCCTTGTGTAGCTTAGGAGTAGTTTACCTAGCTAGTTGCTTTGAAGTTGGTAAAAATACATTTTTTAAATTGTATTCGTCACATGCTTCGTAAACAACAAGTGTAGACTACAGTGAAATGCTTACCTACGGGCCCTTCCCAACAATGCAGAGATAGAAAATAGATAAATAATTGAAAAGTAAAACATGTAACAACACGTTAATAATTATACACAAGGAGTAACGATAACTTGGCTATATACACGGGGTACCAGTACCGAGTCGATGTGCAGGGGTACGAGGTAATTGAGGTAGATAAGGTCATATAACTAGGAATAAAGTGACAGATAATGAACAGCAGCAGCAGCGTATGTGATCAGTCAAAAAGTTTAGTGCAAAAAGGGTCGGTCAATACAGATAGTCTGGGGTAGCTGTTTGGTGAACTATTTAACTATTTAGCAGTCGTATGGCTTGGGGTAGAAGTTGTTCAGGGTCCTGTTGGTTCCAGACTTGGTGCATCGGTACCACTTGCCCTGCGTGTTCTAAGAGTAAATTATCTTCAAATGGCCGCTAAGTGGCGGCATAGTACCATTCACAATTCGATGTAATTTAGTAGACCTATGAATGATGACCTTCTTGATTCAGAGACAACAGAGCTATGCTAGCCTTCTAGGTTTTCTGCAGGGACGTATTCATCCCGCCGATCCTGTTGCAAAACTTTTATTAAAACGGAAGCAAACGGAACGGGGAGGGACCTTCGATAGGGCTGTGGCGGTCATGAAATTTTGTCAGCAGGTTAATAATGTCACGCAAAAGACTACCGGTCTCATGGTAATTGACCGTTAATTAACATAAACACGTTTAGCATCTCCAGGCCTCCATGCATACAAGCCGATGCGCACCTTTGGAACATTTACATTTAGAAAAAGTCTAATACATCTATTTAATATACACCATCACAATAAATCCATTATCTATTTTAGTCAGATCTAAATAAATATTATGATATAAGGAAAATGTATTTCAGAAGAACAGAATATGGGTTTGCCTACTGTAGGCCTATGTTATCTGGCTATGCTCCCATGCCATAGGCTGTATAGGCTTGTTAATTTAGCTGACAAGATATGCTTATAAGTCCCATGCCATTATTTTTTCAGATGAAATAGTGAGAAGAATATAATTTAATTTAGCTTAATAAAATAGAAATGATTTTTTTCCCATTAGTGAGTGCGCATATGAAGTGGCGATGTTAATCATTTCACACAGGTCCTATATGCTAGATTTAGAGTTATTTGGCAACTTTAGTTGTGAATTATACAAACCTTAGAATGCCTTAGAAATCAAAACATATATGGGCTGCATGATGTGACTATAGGCTATTAATGATTTGAGAAAGTAGCAACAAAAGCTTGCGTTCTGTTCCTTGCCTCAGGCTGCACAGCTGTTCTCTTGTCAAGTGATCATATTTTCACCCATCAGACTATTCTCAATTTAAACTTTAGTTTGATGGGGTTGAGGTTAGGGCTCTGTGCAGGCCAGTCAAGGTCTTTCACACCGATCTCGACAAACCATTTATGTATGGACCTCGCTTTGTGCAGGAAAGGGCCTTCCCCAAACTGTTGCCACAAAGTTGGAAGCACAGAATCGTCTAGAATGTCATTGTATGCTGTAGCGTTAAGATTTCCCTTCACTGGAACTAAGGGGCCTATACCGAACCATGAAAAACAGCCCCAGACCATTATTCTTCCTCCACCAAACTTTACAGTTGGCACTATACATTCGGGCAGGTAGCGTTCTACTGGCATCTGCCAAATCCAGATTTGACTGTCGGACTGCCAGATGGTGAAGCGTGATTCATCACTCCAGAGAACGCGTTTCCACTGCTCCAGAGTCCAATGGCGGCGAGCTTTACACCACTCCAGCTGATGCCTGGCATTGCGCATGGTGATCTTAGGCTTGTGTGTGGCTGCTCGGCCATAGAAACCCATTTCATGAAGCTCCCAACGAACAGTTCTTGTGCTGACGTTGCTTCTGGAGGCAGTTTGGAACTAGGTAGTGAGTGTTTCAACCGAGGAAAGACGATTTTGACACGTTATGTGCTTCAGCACTCGGCGGTCCCGTTCAGTGAGCTTGTGTGGCCTACCACTTCACGGCTGAGCCATTGTTGCTCCTAGACGCTTCCACTTCACAATAACAGCACCTACAGTTGACCGGGGTAGCTCTAGCGCAGCAGAAATTTGACGAACTTACTTGTTGTAAAGGTGGCAAACTAAGACAGTGCCACGTTGAAAGTCACTGAGCTCTTCAGTAAGGCCATTCTACTGTCAATGTTTGTCTATGGAGTTTGCATGGCTGTGTGCTAGATGTTATACACCTGTCAGCAATGTGTGTGGCTGAAATAGCTGAATCCACTAATTTGAAGGGGTGTCCACATACTTTTGTATATAGTGTATAAGAACACTTTCACTCCGCATCAACCACTGTTTGAGGAGCATGGTCTTGCTGCCAGACAGGTGATATTCCACCCAAACTCTGTATGTCATGGGCTCTCAAACCTTGTTCCTGCTGCTACCCAGTGCTTGATTTGGGAAAACAAGTGAAATCTGTTCGGGAACATCAATAGTAAAATGTTTTCGCAACGAAACATATTTCACTAAACTGTCCGTCTGCGCGCTGAAGAAAGGAATAAAGGAGCGAGAGGAGGAGATGGAAATGCATGGTGGTGAGAGATTCTGTATAGCTGAAGGTAATGTGTCACTCAATTAATTATGACAATAATTAATTGAGCCTATTACTAGGCTACTCTAAATCAAATACAAATTCACTAATTGTAGGCAAACTAAGCCGCCCTGCATTTTTTAAAAATTATTTTTTATTTCTCCTTTATTTAACCAGGTAAGCCAGTTGAGAACAAGTTCTCATTTACAACTGCGATCTGGCCAAGATAAAGCAAAGCAGTGCGATAAAAACAACAACAACACAGAGTTACATATGGGATAAACAAAACGTAGAGTCAAAAACACAATAGAAAATCTATATACAGTGTGTGCAAATGTAGTAAGTTATGGAGGTAAGGCAATAAATAGGCCATAGTGCAAAATAATTACAATTTAGTATTAACACTGGAGTGATAGATGTGCAGAAGATGATGTGCAAATAGAGATACTGGGGTGCAAATTAGCAAAATAAATAACAATAAGGGGATGAAGTAGTTGGGTGGGCTAATTACAGATGGGCTGTGTACAGGTGCAGTGATCAGTAAGCTGCTCTGACAACTGATGCTTAGAGTTAGTGAGGGAGATAAGAGTCTCCAGCTTCAGAGATTTTTGCAGTTTGTTCCAGTCATTGGCAGCAGAGAACTGGAAGGAATGGTGGCCAAAGGAGGTGTTGGCTTTGGGGATGACCAGTGAGATATACCTGCTGGAACGCTTACTACGGGTGGGTGTTGCTATGGTGACCAATGAGCTAAGATAAGGTGGGGAATTGCCTAGCAGTGATTTATAGATGACCTGGAGCCAGTGGGTTTGGCAACGAATATGTAGTGAGGGCCAGCCAACGAGAGCGTACAGGTCACAATGGTGGGTAGTATATGGGGCTTTGGTGACAAAACGGATGGCACTGTGATAGACTACATCCAAATTGCTAAGTAGAGTGTTGGAGGCTATTTTGAGGATCGGTAGGATAGTCCGTTTTACGAGGGCATGTTTGGCAGCATGAGTGAAGGAGGCTTTGTTGCAAAATAGGAAGCAGATTCTAAATTTTAATTTGGATTGGAGATGCTTAATGTGAGTCTGGAAGGAGAGTTTACGGTCTAACCAGACACCTAGGTATTTGTAGTTGTCCACATATTCTAAGTCAGACCCGCCGAGAGTAGTGATTCTAGTTGGGCGGGCGGGTGCAAGCAGCGTTCGATTGAAGAGCATGCATTTAGTTTTACTAGCGTTTAAGAGCAGTTGGAGGCTACGGAAGGAATGTTGTATGGCATTGAAGCTCGTTTGGAGGTTTGTTAACACAGTGTCCAATGAAGGGCCAGATGTATACATAATCAATAAACCAACAGCATCGCCTAGGGCTATGTCCTCTACCAGACTCATGTATAGACATTTTGGAGCGTAAGGTAACCAGCCCATCCAGTATGCATAATAACAGTCCACACTCAAAGGCGATTACTCAAATTTGTTTAATTTTGGCGTGTAGGCTAGACCAACTATGTACCAAAGATATCTTAAATCAGTTTTGTTTTATGTTTTTCTTCCATGCATAATGTGCGGTAGGCTATGTATTGTATAATGGCACAATCATAATTTTAATTCCGTTTTTTTGTTTCGGGCTTGGGCTCATAAGCCTTGCATAAGCATATGGATGTTTTTGAATTAATCATCACCTTAGAAAGTGCTGTCCTTTTTGTTCTGTTAGGCTTTGAAACAACATCCACAATAACCATGTTTTACACTGTTTCAACCTGCTGTTGCACTTCTTTCTTCAACTTGATTATCACAGTGAGGTGAGTTTTATAAGTATGATAGGCCTACTGTTTTGATAAGTGTTTGATATGATTTTCGATTGCATTTGCGTTGATATCAGAGTGGTTAGAGGGACAATAGAGCCCTGAGTACCAGGCCATTAGGACCTGATGGTAGTTAGCAAGTTGGGGACTACCAAAGCATGTGCGTAGAAGGAGATTACTGTGACTCAACGGTAACGTTGAATTTTACTGCGGTCATGACTGCCGGTGTGGCGGTAATACGGTCACCGCAACAGCCTTAGGGACCTACCTGAATTTGTCCAATAGAAACACTTGTTTTGCTGTTTGCTTCTGTTTGGTTCTTAAACAGTAAACGGTTTCCGTAATTAATACACCCCTGGCATAGTATATGATAAATCATGCTTACAGTGGGGGAAAAAAGTATTTAGTCAGCAAGTTCTCCCACTTAAAAAGATGAGAGAGGCCTGTAATTTTCATCATAGGTACACGTCAACTATGACAGACAAATTGAGAAAAAAAAAATCCAGAAAATCACATTGTAGGATTTTTAATGAATTTATTTGCAAATTATGGTGGAAAATAAGTATTTGGTCACCTACAAACAAGCAAGATTTCTGGCTCTCACAGACCTGTAACTTCTTCTTTAAGAGGCTCCTCTGTCCTCCACTCGTTACCTGTATTAATGGCACCTGTTTGAACTTGTTATCAGTATAAAAGACACCTGTCCACAACCTCAAACAGTCACACTCCAAACTCCACTATGGCCAAGACCAAAGAGCTGTCAAAGGACACCAGAAACAAAATTGTAGACCTGCACCAGGCTGGGAAGACTGAATCTGCAATAGGTAAGCAGCTTGGTTTGAAGAAATCAACTGTGGGAGCAATTATTAGGAAATGGAAGACATACAAGACCACTGATAATCTCCCTCGATCTGGGGCTCCACGCAAGATCTCACCCCGTGGGGTCAAAATGATCACAAGAACGGTGAGCAAAAATCCCAGAACCACACGGGGGGACCTAGTGAATGACCTGCAGAGAGCTGGGACCAAAGTAACAAAGCCTACCATCAGTAACACACTACACTGCCAGGGACTCAAATCCTGCAGTGCCAGACGTGTCCCCCTGCTTAAGCCAGTACATGTCCAGGCCCGTCTGAAGTTTGCTAGAGTGCATTTGGATGATCCAGAAGAGGATTGGGAGAATGTCATATGGTCAGATGAAACCAAAATATAACTTTTTGTGTTTGGAGGACAAAGAATGCTGAGTTGCATCCAAAGAACACCATACCTACTGTGAAGCATGGGGGTGGAAACATCATGCTTTGGGGTTGTTTTTCTGCAAAGGGACCAGGACGACTGATCCGTGTAAAGGAAAGAATGAATGGGGCCATGTATCGTGAGATTTTGAGTGAAAACCTCCTTCCATCAGCAAGGGCATTGAAGATGAAACGTGGCTGGGTCTTTCAGCATGACAATGATCCCAAACACACCGCCCGGGCAACGAAGGAGGGGCTTCGTAAGAAGCATTTCAAGGTCCTGGAGTGGCCTAGCCAGTCTCCAGATCTCAACCCCATAGAAAATCTTTGGAGGGAGTTGAAAGTCTGTGTTGCCCAGCGACAGCCCCAAAACATCACTGCTCTAGAGGAGATCTGCATGGAGGAATGGGCCAAAATACCAGCAACAGTGTGTGAAAACCTTGTGAAGACTTACAGAAAAAGTTTGACCTGTGTCATTGCCAACAAAGGGTATATAACAAAGTATTGAGAAACTTTTGTTATTTACCAAATACTTATTTTCCACCATAATTAGCAAATAAATTCATAAAAAATCCTACAATGTGATTTTCTGGAAAAAAAATTCTCATTTTGTCTGTCATAGTTGACGTGTACCTATGATGAAAATTGACAACTGCTCGGCATCTGACTGTAAGGCGTTGCAGAGGGTAGGGCGTGCTGCCCAGTACATCACTGGGGCAAAGCTTCCTGCCATCCAGGACCTATATACAAGCCGGTGTCAGAGGAAAGCACAAGACATTGTCAAAGACTCCAGTCACCCAAGTCATAGACTGTTCTCTCTGCTACCGCACGGCAAGCGGTACCGGAGCGCCAAGTCTAGGACCAAAAGGCTCCTTAACAGCTTCTACCCCCAAGCCATAAGACTGCTGAACAATTAATCAAATGGCCACCCAGACTATTTACATTGACCCCCCCCCCCCCCCCCACCTCCATTTGTTTTCACACTGCTGCTACCTGCTGTCTATTATCAATGTATTGTCACTTTACCCCTACCTACATGTACAAATTACCTCGACTAACCTGTACCCCTGCACATTGACTCGGTACCAGTACCCCCTGTATATAGCCTCGTTATTTTATTGTTACTTTTTACTTTAGTTTATTTGGTAAATAATTTCTTAACTCTTTCTTGAACTGCATTGTTGGTTAAGGGCTTGTAAGTAAGCATTTCACGGTAAGGTCTACACCTGTTGTTTTCGGCACGTGACAAATAACGTTTGATTTGATTTGAAAAAGCGCCTGTTTGATTCTCCCAAGGCTATTCCAAACCAGGACTGGTCGAGCCAGCATTTGGATCAGTTCAAGAAACAAATGATCTTCCTCAATATCTCTTGTTTGCAAATTATAAATTGTACTGCAATCTGCATGTGAAACAAGTATCATGTTTGATTGCTTGCTCAAACAAAAGGCTGCTCCACCTAATTGAAACAGAATATAACAGGTTAGTCTGATTTACTTTATGTGCAGACAAGGGAAGATTCCCCTTCCCTTGTCCCATTTTACCTGCTCAGACCCATGCTCCATGGGTGATAGGCCTACATGTGTGTCCCTAAATCCAGTAATTTTCACAACCACCTTCTTATTAAGTTTTCAGCTCCCAAAATCCGCAGGCCAGAAGGAAATCAACATCGCTGCCAAATTGAGAGAATAACTTAATTTCTTAATTGGATTTCAAAGTCCCATCCGCCCCAGAGGAGTACAGTGGGGAAAAAAAGTATTTAGTCAGCCACCAATTGTGCAAGTTCTCCCACTTAAAAAGATGAGAGAGGGCTGTAATTTTCATCATAGGTACACGTCAACTATGACAGACAAAATGAGAAAAAAAAATCCTGAAAATCACATTGTAGGATTTTTAATGAATTTATTTGCAAATTATGGTGGAAAATAAGTATTTGGTCAATAACAAAAGTTTCTCAATACTTTGTTATATACCCTTTGTTGGCAATGACACAGGTCAAACGTTTTCTGTAAGTCTTCACAAGGTTTTCACACACTGTTGCTGGTATTTTGGCCCATTCCTCCATGCAGATCTCCTCTAGAGCAGTGATGTTTTGGGGCTGTCGCTGGGCAACACAGACTTTCAACTCCCTCCAAAGATTTTCTATGGGGTTGAGATCTGGAGACTGGCTAGGCCACTCCAGGACCTTGAAATGCTTCTTACGAAGCCACTCCTTCGTTGCCCGGGCGGTGTGTTTGGGATCATTGTCATGCTGAAAGACCCAGCCACGTTTCATCTTCAATGCCCTTGCTGATGGAAGGAGGTTTTCACTCAAAATCTCACGATACATGGCCCCATTCATTCTTTCCTTTACACGCATCATTCGTCCTGGTCCCTTTGCAGAAAAACAGCCCCAAAGCATGATGTTTCCACCCCCATGCTTCACAGTAGGTATGGTGTTCTTTGGATGCAACTCAGCATTCTTTGTCCTCCAAACACAACGAGTTGAGTTTTTACCAAAAAGTTATATTTTGGTTTCATCTGACCATATGACATTCTCCCAATCCTCTTCTGGATCATCCAAATGCACTCTAGCAAACTTCAGACGGGCCTGGACACGTACTGGCTTAAGCAGGGGCACACGTCTGGCACTGCGGGATTTGAGTCCCTGGCGGCGTAGTGTGTTACTGATGGTAGGCTTTGTTACTTTGGTCCCAGCTCTCTGCAGGTCATTCACTAGGTCCCCCGTGTGGCTCTGGGATTTTTGCTCACTGTTCTTGTGATAATTTTGACCCCACGGGGTGAGATCTTGCGTGGAGCCCCAGATCGAGGGAGATTATCAGTGGTCTTGTATGTCTTCCATTTCCTAATAATTGCTCCCACAGTTGATTTCTTCAAACCAAGCTGCTTACCTATTGCAGGTTCAGTCTTCCCAGCCTGGTGCAGGTCTACAATTTTGTTTCTGGTGTCCTTTGACAGCTCTTTGGTCTTGGCCATAGTGGAGTTTGGAGTGTGACTGTTTGAGGTTGTGGACAGGTGTCTTTTATACTGATAACAAGTTCAAACAGGTGCCATCAATACAGGTAACGAGTGGAGGACAGAGGAGCCTCTTAAAGAAGAAGTTACAGGTCTGTGAGAGCCAGAAATCTTGCTTGTTTGTAGGTGACCAAATACTTATTTTCCACCATCATTTGCAAATAAATTCATTAAAAATCCTACAATGTGATTTTCTGGATTTCTTTCCCTCAATTTGTCTGTCATAGTTGACGTGTACCTATGATGAAAATTACAGGCCTCTCTCATCTTTTTAAGTGGGAGAACTTGCACAATTGGTGGCTGACTAAATACTTTTTTCCCCCACTGTATGTAGGGGAAGTTAGTGGTTGTGGCTCGGACAGAAAGAGTCCCCGAAATGGCGAGCCGAGTTCTAAATGATGTCTACTGATGGTCAGAAAAGATAGTTTGCTGTAGTGTGTACACCAGTGAGTGTGTGGGGACTGGAAGGCCTTGAAACCAAGTGGTGAAAGCTACTTTGTCGCAGTTGTTTTTGCCTAATGCTACACCGGGAGGACTGCTGTTTACCATTGAGAGAGGAAATACCCCTCCAAGAACATGTTAATGTGGGCTTACCACAGCTTGTAAACCATTTCCTGACGTATCTCGGCTTCCTGTTACTCCTCCTGGTTTGAATGATCTCTGTCGTTATCTCTGGTATCGCAGTTCCTCTCATTTTGGGTTGCTGATATTATATCCAGGGAGCTGGAGCTGGTAGCTCGGAACCTGTGGTTAATGCACATCACTGAGTGACTCGTTATCTGGCCCAGATAACAATTCTAGGGAGAAATAACGTTTTTTTATGTTACCCGTAATGTTCCCCTAATGTTTGAGTGGCCTGTTTTCTGAGGGTTAGGAGAATATTCCATCAACGTCCCACCAAACATACACAGAAAATGTTTGCTATGTTCTCAGAATGTAAGATAAATGTTCTATACACGTTTCATGGGAACGATGCAAGAACCTGGAATGCTTTTCCAACAGTCTTGAAGGAGTTCCCACATATGCTGAGCACTTGTTGGCAGCTTTTCCTTCACTCTGCCGTCCGACTCATCCCAAACCATCTCAATTGGGTTGATGTCGGGGGATTGTGGAGGCCAGGTCATCTGATGCAGCACTTCATCACTCTCCTTCTTGGTAAAATAGCCCTTACACAGCCTTGAGGTGTGTTGGGTCATTGTCCTGTTGAATAACAAATGATAGTCCCACTAAGCCCAAACCAGATGGGATGGCGTATCACTGCAGAATGCTGTGGTAGCCATGCTGGTTAAGTGTGACTTGAATTCTAAATACATCACAGACAGTGTCACCAGCAAAGCACCATAACACCTCATCCTCCATGCTTTACGGTGGGAACTACACATGCGGAGATCATCCGTTCACCCACACGCGTCTCACAAAGACACGACGGTTGGAACCAAAAATCTCCAATTTGGACTCCAGACCAAACGACACATTTCCACCGGTCTAATGTCCATTGCTCGTGTTTCTTGACCCAAGCAAGTCTCTTCTTATTATTGGTGTCCTTTAGTAGTGGTTTCTTTGCAGCAATTCGACCATGAAGGCCTGATTCACACAGTCCCCTCTGAACAGTTGATGTTGAGATGTGTCTGTGACTTGAACTCTGAAGCATTTATTTAGGCGGCAATTTGAGGCTGGTAACTAATGAAATTATCCTCTGCAGAAGAGGTAAATCTGGGTCTTCCATTCCTGTGGCGGTCCTCATGAGAGCCAGTTCCATCATAGCGCTTGATGGTTTTTGCGACTGCACTTGAAGAAACGTTTAAAGTTCTTGAAATGTTCCGTATTGACTGACCTTCATGTCTTAAAGTAATGATGGACTGTCATTTCTCTTTGCTTATTTAAGCTGTTCTTGCCATAATATGGACTTGGTCTTTTACCAAATTCGGGACAAGTCTCTGAATGTCCTTGAGTGGCCCAGCCACAGCCCGGACTTGAACCCAATCGAACATCTCTGGAGAGACCTGAAAATAGCTGTGTAGCAACGCTCCCCATCCAACCTGACAGAGCTAGAGAGGATCTTCAGAGAAGAATGGGAGAAACTCTCCAAATACAGGTGTGCCAAGCTTGTAGTGTCATACCCAAGAATACTATATCCATAGGATGACAATGCCCCCATCCACAGGGCACGAGTGCCTGAATGGTTTGATGAGCATGAAAACGATGTAAACGAAATGCCATGGCCATCTCAGTAACCAGATCTCAACCAAATTGAACACTTATGGGAGATTCTGGAGCAGCGCCTGAGACAGCGTTTTCCACCACCATCAACAAAACAGCAAAGGATGGAATTTCTTGTGGAAGTATGGTGTCGCATCCTTCCTATAGAGTTCAGACAGTTGTAGAATCTATGGATCATTGAAGCTTTTCTGGCTCGTGGTGACCCAATGCCCTATTGACGCTTTATGTTGCGGTTTCCTTTATTTTGGCAATTATCTATATCATGCAGAATTGTCATCTTATTGTTACTTAGGGAGCTCGTTCTGTAATACAGACGTGGGTGATTTCTGTCCCAGGTAGTTGCAAAAATCTGCTAACTTTCCCAAAATTCCCTTGTTTTCCAGAAAACCCGGTTGGAATATTCCTGGTATCAGGAGGGAATAAACAGGAAATCTGGAAGCAACCAGGATTTCTGGAAAACCTGGGGATTTTGGAAAAGTTACTGGATTTTTGCAACCCTAGTCCCAGGGGACTGAACTGTGTGCACGTTTTTATTCCTGCCTAGCACAAACATCTCATTAAACTAATCATGGTCTTAAATTTAGACTACAATTAGTTGAGTGAAGTGTTCGTAGAGTGCTGGAACAAAAACCTGTACACTGTTTAAAAAACTGTGGCTTTTGCTAATCCATGCAGCCACCTTTCGGTTATAGGTCTAGGTCCCTACCGATACTATTTGAATAACTAATACTCCACTCATGAGTGGAGAAGCCCTATGCACCATAAACCTGTCTACTGGAGTAACTTCCTGTCAGAGAGACTGACTAGAGGGTTAGACCGGAGGCCCTGGGCCAATGGGAGGTCACAGGTGATGGCTTAGGGGTCAGAGCAGAGAGAGTGGGCCAGTTCGTTTAACATTGCCCGGTGCCCCTGGTGGGTGGAATTTGCACATTTTAGACCATTCCATTGGATCTTAAGTGAAATCTCAACCCATCCGGGGCACAACTTGAACCACAGAGTAAGGCTGCCTTCAAATCAAAATGCATGACCGACGCAGCGCTGTAGTTAGGAGAAACACTGCTCTACGTTTTCAATGGATATGTCTTTGCAACCTTTCTGACAGACAGCGCAACACCATGCTAGGGCCTCCCCCAACACACTCCTCCCATCGAAAACCATTTTGTTGCGGTGTCTTTTACACATCCATTTGTCTGATTTGAAGGCACCCTTAGTCCTCAATAATAAACAATGTAATACTTGTTAACTATCTTGCTCTTTCTTTCAACCACACTCAGTACTTCTGTCCATCCCTCTCCAGGTGCTACAGAGACAGAATATTCCAAGGACCTCCAGAGCCTTCTGACCAACTATCTGCGGTCTCTCCAGAGCACAGAGAAGTAGGCTCCGCTCGTAATAGTATACTTATGGTACCTTCACTATTGCTGTCCGTGTGATATAGCATATAATGAAGGGTCATGGGTTGGAAACACTGTACTCACGTCAACTTATGCTCTCTCCTCCCTCAAAGTCTCCCAGATTTTTATAAAAAACTATCATGCGTCTTTCCCCCTGTCCCCAGGTGAGTCTGCTGTGCCATGGAACTCTAGAGCAGCATATAAAAAAAACACGCCAACATGTTGTCAGCAGGCCGTTCCGAGGAAGGATACAACGGTCAAGGCTTTCAATGGCCGAATTTGGGGGATGACTAAATGCAATAAAGCTTTGTATAAACTATGAATGTTTTGTTTTTTTACAAAAAATACCTTTCATAGACTGGTCTTCAAACTTTTACTAACTACTATGGTAACTTAAACATGCAGACTATCAAGACAACACTTAGTTTATGATTCAGAAGGTCAAAAAATCTATTCAAGTATCATGTCCAGCGTGAATAAATTTTATTCATGTACAGTATCAGACACGTTACATGTGTATCAACTAAAATATATGAAAACCAGATTGAAGAATGGGACAATGGACAAGTGAATAGGCCCCGTGTAGCTCAGTTGGTAGAGCATGGCGCTTGCAACGCCAGGGTTGTGGGTTTGATTCCCACGGGGGGCCAGTATGAAAATGTATGCACTCACTAACTAAGTTGCTCTGGATAAGAGCGTCTGCTAAATGACTAAAATGTAAATGAATATAAGTCAGTTCTTGCATTTGTATCTGTTTGTATGAGTGAGTGGTTATAAGATATGTAGGCCTTCCAAACACACACCAGAGACAGAAGGGTGTTCTACACTATTTATTTAACAATAGCTAAAAAAATTAAAAAGTGGACAAGTCCAAAAAGTAATGTAAAAGTCCTTGAGGTGCGTTCCCACCACGTCAGGCACGCTTTGAGGGATTCAAGCCAGTGTTCGCAGTAGGCCTCTCCTGGGTTGTGTTGTGCTGAGTGAAAGACAAAGATTCTGTCAGCAGATTGCGCTGAAACACTGTAGGGCCAAGTACAATAAGCCTCCACAATACCGCTCCAAAAATGATTCAACAAAATCACAATAAGTCACAATAGAACTAAGGAAAGGAGTATAATATCAAAGATAATGGGGAAATAGTAAATAGATGTAAACTTAAATAGGAAAATGAACAAGGCTTGATACAGTAATTTAAACCAATAAATGGAGGCAGGGGATAGGGGCTCAAGTAAAGTTATCTGGTATCAATAAAGGCCAATTGTGTTTATTTGTGAATGTTCCGATTTTCAATTGTCTTTGAGGGGCCACTTGTGACTCAAATAGTTCAGATATGAGTGTTCAGGCAGAGAAGTCACTATAAGCCACAATGACTTGTGTAGTGCGATCGAAAGGAATTTGCCCCGGTTGGGAGTCTATACTGGTGCGGATGGAATGAGAAGGGTAGGCTACTTAGGGAAGGGTGAACGTGCTTCACCCTCCCAGTATCCCAAAAGGCCACCTCTCTGGTTCACAGTAGATGCACTGGCATTAACGAGTGCGTAGCACACAAAGCAGTAGAGAATGTCGGCAGGCAGTGCTAGCAGGTGAAATGTTGGAAATTGAATATGGAGAGGTACTTAGCTGTTGGGAAGGGTGAAGCGTTCACCTTCCCAATTTCCCAAAAGGCCTCTGCTCTGTTCCTTCTCGCTCGCCGGCAGCTGTCAATACGGTCCACAGTGGCTTGTTGGTTCGTAGTTCGTCCTCCCGTCAGGTCACAGGGCAGCTATAGGCTCAATCCACAAGCACACTGGCATTAATGAGTGCGTAGCACGCAACACAGTAGAGAATGTTGGAATACAGCTCTATCTGGCACTAAGTTAAAATTGGATATAGAGAGGTACTTAGCTTTGGGAAGGGTGACGAGTTCACCCTCCTAATTACCATAAAGGCCTTTTCTCAGTTTCAACACTGGTCCCGGTCTGCTCCAGAAACAGCACGCCTTCTCCTCAGTTGCCTGGGCTCTGCAGCTTCGCTGTTCTGGCTTTCCCCTTAAATAAAGAACAGGTGCAAGTAACTTCCAGGTTCCAATCAGTGACGCGTCAATTAATTACTCCTGTGATCAACAGGGGAAAAGAGGTGTGCACCTTATATTTGCCTGGGTGAAACCCTTACCAGGTGAATTAGGTTCTGGGCATATAATGCAATGTAATGTAATGTAAATGTAATGTAAATGGCGCCGGAGAAGATGGCTGCCGTTTTACAGCCCTCTAACCAATTGTACTATTATGTGTGTTTTTCCGCGTTATTTGTAATTTATTTTGTACATAATGTTTCTGCCATCGTCTCTTATAACCAAAAAGAGCTTCTGGATATAAGGACAGCGATTACTCACCTCGTATTGGACGAAGATTTTTTCTTCAACGAGGCGGCCGCGAAGGATATCCTACAGACACCCGACAAGGCCCAAATCCCCGTCATTCGCATGAGGAACAGACGGAGATATCGTGGACGTAGGTCGGGGTGCCTTGTAAGGATCCGATGGCGAGAGAGTAAACTGCCGCTCCCATCAATCCTATTAGCCAATCTTCAATCATTGGAGAATAAATTGGATGACCTAAGATTACGGTTATCCTACCAACAGGACATTAAAAACTGTAATATCTTATGTTTCACCGAGTCGTGGCTGAACGACGACATGGACAACATACAGCTAGCGGGCTATACGCTACATCGGCAGGATAGAACGGCTGACTCCGGTAAGACAAGGGGTGGCGGTCTGTGTATATTTGTAAACAACAGCTGGTGCACAATATCAAATACTAAGGAAGTCTCGAGGTTTTGCTCGCCTGAGGTAGAGTATCTTATGATAAGCTGTAGACCACACTATTTATCAAGAGAGTTTTCATCTATATTTTTCATAGCTGTCTATTTACCACCACAAACCAATGCTGGCATTAAGATTGCACTGAATGAGCTGTATAAGGCCATAAGTCAACAGGAAAACGCTCATCCAGAGGCAGCACTCCTAGTGGCCGGGGACTTTAATGCAGGGAAACTTAAATCCGTTCTACCTAATTTCTACCAGCATGTTAAATGTGCAACCAGAGGAAAAAAATAAACTCTAGACCACCTTTACTCCACACACAGAGACGCATACAAAGCTCTCCCTCGCCCTCCATTTGGCAAATCTGACCATATCTCTATCCTCCTGATTCCTGCTTATAAGCAAAAACTAAAGCAGGAAGCACCAGTGACTCGGTTAATAAAAAAAGTGGTCAGATGACGCAGATGCTAAGCTACAGGACTGTTTTGCTAGTACAGACTGGAACATGTTCCGGGATTCTTCAGATAGCATTGAGGAGTACACCACATCAGTCACTGGTTTCATCAATAAGTGCATCGATGATGTCATCCCCACAGTGACCGTACGTACATACCCCAACCAGAAGCCATGGATTACAGGAAACATCCGTACTGAGCTAAAGGGTAGAGCTGCCGCTTTCAAGGAGCGGGACTCTAACCCGGACGCTTATAAGAAATCCCGCTATGCCCTCCGACGAACCATCAAACAGGCAAAGAGTCAATACAGGACTAAGATTGAATCGTACTACACCGGCTCTGACGCTCGTCGGATGTGGCAGGGCTTGAAAACTATTACAGACTACAAAGGGAAGCACAGCCGCGAGCTGCCCATTGACACAAGACTTCCAGATGAGCTAAACCACTTCTATGCTCGCTTCGAGGCAAGCAACACTGAAGCATGCATGAGAGCACCAGCTGTTCCGGATGACTATGTGATCACGCTCTCCGTAGCCGATGTGAGTAAGACTTTTAAGCAGGTCAACATTCACAAGGCCGCAGGGCCAGACGGATTACCAGGACGTGTACTCTGAGCATGTGCTGACCAACTGGCAAGTGTCTTCACTGACATTTTCAACATGTCCCTGACTGAGTCTGTAATACCAACATGTTTCAAGCAGACCACCATAGTCCCTGTGCCCAAGGACTCTAAGATAACCTGCCTAAATGACTACCGACCCGTAGCACTGACGTCTGTAGCCATGAAGTGCTTTGAAAGGCTGGTCATGGCTCAAATCAACACCATTATCCCAGAAACCTTAGACCCACTCCAATTTGCATACTGCCCCAACAGATCCACAGATGATGCAATCTCTATTGCACTCCACACTGCCCTTTCCCACCTGGACAAGAGGAACACCTACGTGAGAATGCTATTCATTGACTACAGTTCAGCATTCAACACCATAGTGCCCTCAAAGCTCATCACTAAGCTAAGGATCCTGGGACTAAACACCTCCCTCTCCAACTGGATCCTGGACTTCCTGATGGGCCGCCCCCAGGTGGTAAGGGTAGGTAACAACACATCTGCTACGCTGATCCTCAACACGGGGGCCCCTCAGGGGTGCGTGCTCAGTCCCCTCCTGTTCTCCCTGTTCACCCATGACTGCATGGCCAAGCACGACTCCAACACCATCATTAAGTTTGCCGACAACACAACAGTGGTAGGCCTGATCACCGACAACGATGAGACAGCCAATAGGGAGGAGGTCAGAGACCTGGCCGTGTGGTGCCAGGATAACAACCTCTCCCTCAACGTGACCAAGACAAAGGAGATGATTGTGGACTACAGGAAAAAAAAGAGGACTGAGCACGCCCCCATTCTCATCGACGGGGCTGTAGTGGAACAGGTTGAGAGCTTCAAGTTCCTTGGTGTCCACATCACCAACAAACTATCATGGTCCAAACACACCAAGACAGTCATGAAGAGGGCACGACAAAGCCTATTCCCCCTCAGGAGACTGAAAAGATTTGGCATGGGTCCTCAGATCCTCAAAAGATTCTACAGCTGCACCATCGAGAGCATCCTGACTGGTTGCATCACCGCCTGGTATGGCAACTGCTTGGCCTCCGACCGCAAGGCACTACAGAGGTTAGTGCGGACGGCCCAGTACATCACTGGGGCCAAGCTTCCTGCCATCCAGGACCTCTATACCAGGCGGTGTCAGAGGAAGGCCCTCAAAATTGTCAAAACTCCAGCCACCCTAGTCATAGACTGTTGTCTCTGCTACCGCACGGCAAGCGGTACCGGAGTGCCAAGTCTAGGTCCAAAAGACTTCTCAACAGCTTCTACCCCTAAGCCATAAGACTCCTGAATAGCTAATCATGGCTACCCGGACTATTTGCACTGCCCCCTCACCCCATCTTTTTACGCTGCTGCTACTCTGTTAATTATTTATGCATAGTCACTTTAACTCTACCCACATGTACATATTACTTCAACTACCTCAACTAGCCGGTGCCCCCGCACATTGACTCTGCACCGGTACCCCCCTGTATATATAGCCTCCCTACTGTTATTTTATTTGACTTCTGCTCTTTTTTTCTCAACACTTTTTTGTTGTTGTTTTATTTTAATTTTTTAATAAAAATAAATGCACTGTTGATTAAGGGCTGTAAGTAAGCATTTCACTGTAATGTCTGCACCTGTTGTATTCGGCGCATGTGGCCAATAAAATTTGATTTGATTTGATGTATGGGGGCAGCTTCTAATAGATACATAGTCACCTCCATGACGTACCTTTCATCACCAAAGCCGTGTTCTCATTTACTGCTCATGTTGCTGAACAATCCAACCCTTTTGTTAGTACCAATGATATAAATGGGCATTTCACACACAATATTCAGTTCATAAGCATTGACTGTAATACATCTGCTGTGCAACAACAGCTTTCTTCCTGGTCTGTCAGCATGCTCCTTTGTAGTGATCTTACTCCCTCTCAACCTGAAATGCAATAACAACAAAAACATGAGAAACAATGTGCCTACTCAGTCAGTAACTTAACCAACTAATGAAACACTAATGTGTACATACAGTTGAAGTCGGAAGTTTACATACACCTTAGCCAAATACATTTAAACTCTGTTTTTCACAATTCCTGACATTTAATCCTCGTAAAAATTCCCTGTCTTAGGTCAGTTAGGATCACCACTTTATTTTAAGAATGTGAAATGTCAGAATAATAGTAGAGAGAATAATTTATTTCAGCATTTATTTATTTCATCGCATTCCCAGTGGATCAGAAGTTTACATACACTCAATTAGTATTTGGTAGCATTGCCTTTAAATTGTTTAATTTGCGTCAAACGTTTCAGGTAGCCTTCCACAAGCTTCCCACAAAAGTTGGGTGAATTTTGGGCCATTCCTCCTGACAGAGCAGGTGTAACTGAGTCAGGTTTGTAGGCCTCCTTGCTCGCACACACTTTTTCACTTCTGCCCACAAATGTTCTATAGGGTTGAGGTCAGGGCTTTGTGATGGCCACTCCAATACCTTGACTTTGTTATCCTTAAGCCATTTTGCCACAACTTTGGAAGTATGCTTGGGGTCATTTTCCATTTGGAAGACCCATTTGCGACCAAGCTTTAACTTCCTGACTGATGTCTTGAGATGTTGCTTCAATATATCCACATAATTTTCCTTCCTCATGATGCCATCTATTTTGTGAAGTGCACCAATCCCTCCTGCAGCAAAGCACCCCACAGCATAATGCTGCCACCTCCGCGCTTCACGGTTGGGATGGTGTTCTTCGGCTTGCAAGCACCGCCTTTTTCCTCCAAACATAACGATGGTCATTATGGCCAAACAGTTCTATTTTTGTTTCATCAGACCAGAGGACATTTCTCCAAAAAGTACAATCTTTGTTCCCATGTGCAGTTGCAAACCGTAGTCTGGCTTTTTTATGGCGGTTTTGGAGCAGTGACTTCTTCTTTGCTGAGCTGCCTTTCAGGTTATGTCGACATAGGACTTGTTTTACTGTGGATATAGATACTTTTGTACCGGTTTCCTCCAGCATCTTCACAAGGTCCTTTACTGTTGTTCTGGGATTGATTTGCACTTTTTGCACCAAAGTACGTTCATCTCTAGGAGACAGAACGCGTCTCCTTCCTGAGCGGTATGACGGCTGCTTGGTCCCATGGTGTTTATACTTGCATACTATTGTTTGTACAGATGAACGTGGTACCTTCAGGCGTTTGGAAATTGCTCCCAAGGATGAATCAGACTTGTGGAGGTCTATAATTTTTTTCTGAGGTCTTGGCTGATTTATTTTGATTTTCCCATGATGTCAAGCAAAGAGGCACTGAGTTTGAAGGTAGGCCTTGAAATACATCCACAGGTACACCTCCAATTGACTCAAATGATGTCAATTAGCCTATCAGAAGCTTCTAAAGCCATGACATCATTTTCTGGAATTTTCCAAGCTGTTTAAAGGCACAGTCAACTTAGTGTATGTAAACTTCTGACCCACTGGAATTGTGATACAGTGAATTATAAGTGAAGTAATCTGTCTGTAAACAATTGTTGGAAAAATTACTTGTGTCATGCACAAAGTAGATGTCCTAACCGACTTGCCAAAACTATAGTTTGTTAACAAGACATTTGCGGAGTGGTTGAAAAACGAGTTTTAATGACTCCAACCTAAGTGTATGTAAACTTCCGACAACTGTATACACTACCGTTCAAAAGTTTGGGGTCACTTAGAAATATCCTTGTTTTCCATGAAAACATACAGTGGGGAAAAAAAGTATTTAGTCAGCCACCAATTGTGCAAGTTCTCCCACTTAAAAAGATTAGAGGCCTGTAATTTTCATCATACGTACACGTCAACTATGACAGACAAATTGAGATTTTTTTTCTCCAGAAAATCACATTGTAGGATTTTTAATGAATTTATTTGCAAATTATGGTGGAAAATAAGTATTTGGTCACCTACAAACAAGCAAGATTTCTGGCTCTCACAGACCTGTAACTTCTTCTTTAAGAGGCTCCTCTGTCCTCCACTCGTTACCTGTATTAATGGCACCTGTTTGAACTTGTTATCAGTATAAAAGACACCTGTCCACAACCTCAAACAGTCACACTCCAAACTCCACTATGGCCAAGACCAAAGAGCTGTCAAAGGACACCAGAAACAAAATTGTAGACCTGCACCAGGCTGGGAAGACTGAATCTGCAATAGGTAAGCAGCTTGGTTTGAAGAAATCAACTGTGGGAGCAATTATTAGGAAATGGAAGACATACAAGACCACTGATAATCTCCCTCGATCTGGGTCTCCACGCAAGATCTCACCCCGTGGGGTCAAAATTATCACAAGAACGGTGAGCAAAAATCCCAGAACCACACGGGGGGACCTAGTGAATGAGAGCTGGGACCAAAGTAACAAAGCCTACTATCAGTAACACACTACGCCGCCAGGGACTCAAATCCTGCAGTGCCAGATGTGTCCCCCTGCTTAAGCCAGTACATGTCCAGGCCCGTCTGAAGTTTGCTAGAGTGCATTTGGATGATCCAGAAGAGGATTGGGAGAATGTCCTATGGTCAGATGAAACCAAAATATAACTTTTTGGTAAAAACTCAACTCGTCGTGTTTGGAGGACAAAGAATGCTGAGTTGCATCCAAAGAACACCATACCTACTGTGAAGCATGGGGGTGGAAACATCATGCTTTGGGGCTGTTTTTCTGCAAAGGGACCAGGACGACTGATCCGTGTAAAGGAAAGAATGAATGGGCCATGTATCGTGAGATTTTGAGTGAAAACCTCCTTCCATCAGCAAGGGCATTGAAGATGAAACGTGGCTGGGTCTTTCAGCATGACAATGATCCCAAACACACCGCCCGGGCAACGAAGGAGTGGCTTCGTAAGAAGCATTTCAAGGTCCTGGAGTGGCCTAGCCAGTCTCCAGATCTCAACCCCATAGAAAATCTTTGGAGGGAGTTGAAAGTCCGTGTTGCCCAGCGACAGCCCCAAAACATCACTGCTCTAGAGGAGATCTGCATGGAGGAATGTGCCAAAATACCAGCAACAGTGTGTGAAAACCTTGTGAAGACTTACAGAAAACGTTTGACCTGTGTCATTGCCAACAAAGGGTATATAACAAAGTATTGAGAAACTTTTGTTATTGACCAAATACTTATTTTCCACCATAATTTGCAAATAAATTCATTAAAAATCCTACAATGTGATTTTCTGGATTTTTTTTTCTCAATTTGTCTGTCATAGTTGACGTGTACCTATGATGAAAATTACAGGCCTCTCTCATCTTTTTAAGTGGGAGAACTTGCACAATTGGTGGCTGACTAAATACTTTTTTCCCCCACTGTATTTGTTTCCCCCTTGCATCTAGAGCTGCCTAATATAGCAAGCCAGTTGATAGTACAGTAGCTAAGATGAATGCAATGTGTGACATTAGTTGGTATATGGGCGATGTTAGATACGTAAATGAGTGAGATGAAATTCAAAGGAATGACATCACATCAGAAAAGATTTACATTTACATAATTTAGCAGACGCTCTTATCCAGAGCGACTTACAAATTGGTTCATTCAACTTATGATAGCCAGTGGGACAACCACTTTTCTTTTTTTTATGGGGGGGGGGGGGGGGGTAGAAGGATTACTTTTATACTATTCCAGGTATTTCTTAAAGAAGTAGGGTTTCAAGTGTCCGCTGTCCTGGCGTCGTGGGGGAGCTTGTTCCACCATTGGGGTGCCAGAGTAGCGAATAGCTTTGACTGGGCTGAGCGGGAACTGTGCTTCCGTAGAGGTAGGGGGGCTAGCAGGCCAGAGGTGGATGAACGTAGTGCCCTCGTTTGGGTGTAGGGTCTGATCAAAGCCTGAAGGTAAGGAGTTTATAGCTAAACTGGAATTACTGAGTCTACCATTACAGATATCCACTGGAAAATCTTTACGTAAACGAGATCATCCAAAACACGTTGAAATAGCATTAGGCTGAATTTGCTAGCTAGCTTTCTTACCTAAAAGAAAAAGCCCCTTGCAGGAAGTCCTGCATGTTGCAATGTGGCTACTGGTTAGCTACCTGGGGATGTAAATATCATGTTGGTCCCGCCTTCCATTTAGCTAGCCAATCACTGGCATTGTAACAAAAAGCACTGCTATGATTGGTCAATAAAGCTGGTTATCATATTTGAGTAACATGTCATTGTAGATTTGCATGCACACAGAGATCATATCGCGCAAGCACAGGTGCATTTCGAGAGAGCGCAGGCAAGATGCTGTGCTCTACACTTAATTTATTGCGCTCAAATCCACTTTCTGGGTACGCAACATTTGTGTCTGTGTTCTCAACTATCTCTCAGCTCCTCAACATTATTTTCCACGTTGCCCCCAAATTGTGAGTTCAACTGAATGCCTCAATGCCTGGCTGCCTGCTTGATATAACAAGCCACGGTCACGTGACCCAGTCTGCTGGAGCGATACATTTTTGTCAACGGGGTGAGTGTATAGTGGTACGAATGTGACAGTAGGGTGACTCCCCTAGCGTGTCTCGAACCCAGGCCACCAGAACCAATGAAACCCAGGCCACCAGAACCAATGACTTAACGCCCTAACCACTGTCCCAATAAGGGATATCTCTAGGACCTGTCCAGAAGAAACCCTAACCCCTTGTCCCTAGGCACTTGTGTAGATCTGAAACAACTTAAAAGGTGTAAGCAATAGGGAAAATGCACTTTGAAGTAAATCTCAGCTCTATTAAAAGTACACTTAAGGAAATATTTTATTGATCATAGTGATTCAGGAGTATTATTAAAAGAGGTTAATATGCACAACCAACATTAGACAACTATACAGAATGCCCTTAAATTGCTGAAATAAGTGAATAAAATCAATGATGAAAGAATAGTCAGATTTAACTGATACCTTACATGGGCATGGTGGCGTAGCAGGAAGCTTGGAATACCATGAACCAAGTGGTTGAGAGTTCACATCCCAGGCGAGGACATGTTGAATAATAATAATTGATTAATTGTACATGCAAAATGTAATCATGTATATCAAAATGTGTAAAAATTGAAAACACTGTATATTAGGCACTTTGTGTGTGAGTATCAATAAACCTTGCCAACAGACAAAGACTTATGACTGGATCAGTGGTTCACCAATTAGGGCCTTGGTTGGCTCAGCAACAGTAACAAGACGTGATGTGTATATATATTTTTTAAACATGCTTTTGCAATGTTCCCATGAAACGTGTCTAGAACATTATAATCTTATGTTTTGAGAACATGGCAACCATGTTCTGTGTATGTTTGGTGGGACATTGATGGAATATTCTCCTAACCCACAGAACTGGACACATGAATGTTCTTGCAATGTTCCCATGAAACGTGTCTAGATTTATTAGGATCCCCATTAGCCAAAGCCAATGGCGACAGCTAGTTAATATCTTAAGTTCTGAGAACATGGTAACCACGTTCTGGGAAAGTTATATTGGACATTAAGGGAATGGTCTCATGGAAACATTCCTATGAAAATGTTAGTTAATGACCTAATGAGACTCTTAAGGGAACGTTCTCTAAAGTTGTGGGAATGTTTGTTGTTAGCCGGGGAGTTCCTTTTGCGCCACTGAGTTATCCTGTAGCTGACACAGTTAAACAGGCTAGCTATCACTTTTCAGCCACATGCTCATGCATATCAGCAGGGATAAACAAGTGGCTGTTTTACCTACTAAGAGAACAGAGGAAGGGAAAAGACTGGACACAGTTTAGGCACAAACAAATTCATTAAGATTCAGCTACTGTATGTGGCTGCCTGGTGCTATTTCTGTTGGCTAATAAAGCACAATATAGCCTATCTATAGCGTGACTGTTTTATATGTGGACACAATCTAGCTGTCTGAGTTATGTGCAGACATTATTCACCAGCAGATGTCTTTGTGGACATTATCATGACACCGCAGCGTTTGCATGTGGAGCTCCTTCCTCTCCTTCCCATCGCTCTTCATGTCTGGCGACCTGACTGCAGTAATGTTTGGGCTCCGTGACACAAACAGCTGTAACTCATGGTACTGTAGCGTAGCTAGCTGTGGGAGTGAGGGGGGAATAGAGTGACACTGTCATCCTACCCTTGTGCTCTGCTGCCTGCCTGCATCCATGCAGAAGAATACTCTTTCCTTGGGTGGGTTGGTAACTCACCCGGCCCTTGGCAGGCCCCACTCACGCTAATTGTATCACTGTCCCAAACAAATGTTCCTGTCAGGCAAGTTATGCTCGCTCAGTGCGCATTTTGGAAGCTGAACTGCAATTACATCTTACTAGGCAGACGCACGCACGCACAAACAGTCTCCACTCTATACCTCCATGCTCTGTAGATCTTTTATCGTTTTGTTTTATTTCTCCCCTGCACTCCTCCCTTCTCCTTCTTACCCTCCCTCTCTCTCTCTTTTTCTCTCTCTTTCTTGCATGCTTTTTCTCCAGCTGATCATTTCCTTTAAAGGTCAGATTAGTGTAATTTAGGAGGATGGCCCCATGGCAAAGCAAGCAGCTAGCTAATCAACCACCCATGTGGGTCCTGTTGGGGCCCTGCTGGGGCCGTGCTGTGGTTGCTGGGGCCAGTTGTCAGCTGTAATAGGCACCACAGACTGGGGTAATGAGGACAAGATGTGGCCATGCAGTAAAGACTGTGGCAGGCAGCGGGGGGCAGAGAGGCTGATTTCATCAGGCACCAACCATTGGGCTACTGTGTGCCTGCTGGTACTGTAAGTCAAGTAGCCCACTGCTTAGGAGTGAGGGATGGGCTTGATTCTAGCTTGGGCCTCGTTAGTCTTACGGTTCATTGGATCCTTTAAGAGGTCTTTCTCTCATAATTGATTTAGGATATTCAGCACTGGAAAAAACTGTAATGAGCAATAGGCTAGTAGTTGGCACAGTTATTGACCCTCCTCACCCAGGAGGACCTGTTGCTCGACCTGCGATTTCTACTCTCACTTAGCACTGAATTAGCAAACTCTAAACTTGGATCCTGGTCCTACCTCAATTAGGGCTTGCGTGTTACAGCCTATTTATTATTTAACTAAATTCAGAGCTGGGGGAGCAGTATTCATGTGCCAGCAGTAGATGAGAGTGATAGAGAGATGAGGCAGGGGGGGGGTACGCATTCACCAAATGGGCTGTTATTAACACAGAGGGGATCTCTCTCCCCCCCCGGGGAGGTGAGGTAGCCACTCTCGGAGGGATTTGATTGACTAACGGTGTTACAATTTCTAGCGTGAATGCTTTTCAGCACAGCAGGCTTGATGACTGGTTGCTCTTGTTCAGGAGCTCTGTAGATGTCCAGACAGCTGGAGAAACCTACTTTGACCTTAAAAAATGATAGATGTAGAGACATTACATTTACATTTTAGTCATTTAGCAGACGCTCTTATCCAGAGCGACTTACAGTTAGTGAGTGCATACATTTTTCAAAATTTTTCAGACATGTAAGCCTATTAAATTGGTCTGATGATGGCCAAATCCGCTATGTGAGTTGAGGACACGGCCTGACCTCTTCAGCTGACCGGGTGTTTCTCTTGGGCAGTGGCAGTGCTGCGTAACTCAGGAGCTCCTCATGTCGCTCAGCTTGCTGCTCAACAGGACATCTGCCGCTGACTCACTCCTTGGCTGAGACAATGTGCTGGCCATGTGCTGAACTCTGTGAAAACAGATTATGAGGAGAGGAGGAGGAGGGGGTGGTTCAGGAGAGGAGAGGAGACAAAGAAGGCAGCAGAACGTGACTGATTAGTAGAAGAAAGGAAAGGGAATTGAGACTGGAAGTTAGAGCTGGGTGATATGGACAAAAATCTGTATCTCAATAAATTGCCTGAATTGAAGTGATAACGATAAATAGAATGATACGTTTATAACATTAATTTGTATCTGTTTTGTTGTTGTTGATTATCCTTTAAACTATTACTACTAGTTTGATGGTTGTAACCATCAATTATCCCATTAACAATCACCCACATTTAGCAAACTTACTTCATTTAAAACTTCACATTTCTCTATTAAAGGCTACTTATTGTAATGAATGATATCAGCAAAATGCCTGCGATAAGTGGTCGGCGTCGATAATTTTCAGTTTGTCGTCCCAGTTTTACTGGAAGTCCAGAGTCAGAGGATAGTAGAGAGGAGAGGGTGTAGGAGGCTGAGGGGGAAGTGTTGCTGCTTGAAATAGTTCCACAGACCTGCATATTACCTTATGTTATATGCTCTCCTGAGTGAAGGGCTGTAATAATGTGTAGCCTCACAGAGCCATCCCACTGAACTGGTTCAAAAGTCACCTTTAGGAGAGAGATGCATGTATGCTGTTCACTCTGCCAGCTCTGCCCCCATCCCCATCCACCTCTGGACAGCACACCAGGTCCAGGTCAAGCCCAGACTACTTCAAGCCAAGGGAGGCTCATCCCAATAAAATGTATTCTCTAACTGCTGATGTATTACCATATCCTCTTCAGTTCACTAACAGCCAGTCAGTCAGTCAGTCGGTCTGCACAGTATGTTCTGGCACATTCCTGTTACAATAGTGCAAAACAATAGACCCATAGGGAAACATTGCATTTGCCAGAATAGATGGCATCCAATACAGAAAGGAGCCCCTGATCTATCCAGTTCCAATGGACGGGGTCTGATTGATTGGCAGCAAGGGGGAGAGGAGGAGGAGGTGAAAGGGGGAGGTGAAAGCATGCAGAACACTGGCAGGGCTGATTACTACATGGGTCTTTACTGGGGATAGAGGAGTGGTTTGAAAAACTGGGCGCTCTGCACTCCCTGTCTCTTCAGAGAGCTGCTCTCTCTCTTATTGGGCCCTGCTTCCTCTCTGGAGGAGTAGACATCGCCTAATGAAAAACATGTCATTAACTCGTGCAGAAGGGCCGAAGAAACGCGGTTAACATTCCAGAGAACAACAGAGTAAAAAAAAAAAAAAAGAACACTAAAACCTCACTTAAGATTACAATGCTCCAAAGGATTGTTTTGTTTCCTAAGTTGGTTGCTCATATTTTCAAATGTTTTGGCTTGAGACCCAAGATATGAATGACTGCCTTCCCAATTTCGTGATGGACAATGGCACGCTGTTTGCATGTTATTGTAACTTTTTTTTCTGGCCCCAATGAAGGTAATCTCATCCTCTCCTGCCAACACAGTCCACATTTATCCTTCTTGAAAAAGCATCGTCAGCATATTTTATTTTTTATTTTATTTTACCTTTATTTAACTAGGCAAGTCAGTTAAGAACAAATTCTTATTTACAATGACGGCCTACACTGGCCAAACCCGGACTCCCATAGGTGACAGCAGTCAAGTCAGTCTTTATTTATCAGTACATTATCACAAGCACAGCAAAGGATGGGTGCAGATATTGATGGCCCCCCCCCCAGTGAAACTGAACCTAAACTCCCTATCAACCACTGAACACTTTTCCACCCCCTGTAGTTTCATATCAAACTTTTACTATTTTTATTATATTTCCAGGGGACCATCATTTTTATACACATTTAAGTTTTGTGCCAGTGATGGCATGCAAAGGAATAATTGGTGTTGGAAATATATTTCAGCGATTCTAGATTGCCAAACTGCAGACAGCGGTTTAGAATATTCAGGAAAAACAACCCTGTAGGCGTTCTTTTGAAACAACAACAACAACAAAGTATACAGACACTACCACAAAGTCCAACCAAGCTGCAAAAAATGAAGAACTAACTGTATGCATCTACAAAAATATTAATCCACTCTAGGGGCAGTTAAAAACAACAACACAACACAGTGATAGAGGATTTGACCATTCAAGGTTATTGGACGAGGGTGACTTGTTCTTTGGCTGGAAGATTCACCACAGATCAACATTTTATAGTTTCAATAGACAACTGAACATAATGGATTGGGACATAACAATGTGAATAAAAATGTGCTGAATAATGTGCTGACCTAAGTCCATGCATACTAAAAGAGTAAATACTCGATAACTCTGATTTCATTCTCCCTTTTTCTCCTGTAGATCAAGAAAGCCTACCGACAGAAAGCCTTGACGTGCCATCCAGACAAAAACCCAGACAACCCAAAAGCAGGTTAGTGAAAAAAAAATGGCAGAAGTATAGCCTAGGGACAATGTCCATTTCTCCTCACCTTGTATGTCAGCTTTCTGCCTCTGTAGCAGATTATAAAACCTGAACACCATCACCACCAGCCACATTCATGATTCTGACCAGACGCACATTGAGAGAATAGAGTGTGTGTTCAGTGTTTTGTATGATTGGGAGGTTAACATGGATATTCATGTCCTGTGTGCAGTGTCCCTGTCAACAGGCACCATGCTGACATCTCCTCTTTAAACCCTCACCCTAAAGGCATCAGCAAGCTTCAGTTCGGCTGGCGCCTAGCCAAGCTCGGCTAACCGAACGACTCGTGTGCTCGCAGGCTCCTTTTAAAGACCTTGCCTTGAAAAACGAGAAAAAAGCAGCAATAATACTGTTTGTCCATTTTGAGACGCCGTAGCCAGTATACACTTCCTCAAAATAGTCAGAATTAATCTAAGATAACTCAAGAAATCTGTTATTAATTTTGACGTTTTCTCAAGTGACAAAATGTGCATGAGGACAAGTCGTCTCTCGTTGAATGACAACAAAGACTTAATTGAAGAATCCCTAGCGTTGACCAATCGCCGACAAGGGGGCGTAGACTTCGGCTTGGCGCAAGAAAAAATGTAGTGTGCCCGAACAGCCATTGCTAAAGTCCAAAACTAACAAAAACGTCACAAAATGTTGTCTTAATATATGCACAAACTGTTCTGATCTGTTTCGTTTGGGAAGCCTGCGGACGCCTTAACCCCTCTACAGTCTGACCCCCTCTGTGCCATGCTGCCAGACAGGCCGGCCACAGGTCTCTACAGACCGGCTAAGCAGAGCAGAGCCTTCCCACAAGCCCCCAGCCAGACAGCATGACCAGTAGGTCCGGGACGATACCAGTATCGCGATACTCGTTAGTATCGTGGCTAGGAAACAAAACACAGCGGATTTAACTTCTGTAGAAAAACAGCCCTAATGTTGGAAACAAACATCATTATGTTGTCATCCTGAGTCACATTTATTTATTTTCCAAGCTGTAGCACACTATTTTACATACAGCAGGTTTTTAAAGGACCAAAGAGGTGAGGTGGGGGTCATCTTCCATCCCCACCCCCCATATGCACCCTCTGTGCTGTGACAGTCTGAGCTGCTCAGGCCAATGTGGCACTGTAGCAGTCTTTGATTCAGCTAGTTCTATTCCATCTGCGTAGGTAACTTGACCCGTCCACTTGCAGCTCTCTAGAGCCTGCTGTTTGTGCCGCATTCCTCACAGGGAGTAAAAGTACATGCCCGTTAGATAGAAAAAAAACTCCCATAAGTGAGTGATTAAGCTGGAGCAGTAGAGTGCGGTAATGGGGCCGGCTGTGGGTTTGTGGTTCTGGGTCTGGTGCTGGGGCTGGAAGGGTGGATAGAGGCGAGCACCGGGGGTTTGCGTGGTACTCGTGATTGCCCCTGTGTCCCCTTAGGGCTCCCTAATGGGAGATGGATTGAGGGGCCCGGGTGGGTTTGTGGGAAAAGTGCAGGTGGATCATTAGAGGAATCCGGTTTCGTGAGACTCCAGGCACCTTTTAACGCAGGAAATATCTCCGTTTATGTCAGCCCCGGGTCCCGTGTTGGCACAGAGACACCACACAGAGCACACGCCGGCTTGTTTCTTAACCCTGCCTCGTTTCAGTCCTCTCCTCCACACGCAACTTAGAGCCCCCCGGTCTCTCCCTCTCTCACCCCTCCTCTCACCTCCCCTTGCGTGTTAGCAGCTCACTAAGGTATCATTACCTTGTATTGTTAGCCTTTGTTCCATTTGGTTGTTGTTTTTAAAGCTAACATTCTACACATGCACTATGGTCCCCTCGATCACATCAGGGCGGCAGATAGCTTAGTGGTTAAGAGCGTTGTGCCAGTAACCGAAAGGTCGCTGGTTCTAATCCCCGAGCCGACTAGGTGAAATATCTGTCGATGTGCCCTTGAGCAAGGCACTTAACCCTAATTGCTCCTGTAAGTCGCTCTGGATAAGAGCGTCTGCTAAATGACTTAAATGTAAATGTAAATGTAAATCTTACCTTCCTCTAAGTCCTCACTGAGCAGGAATATGAAATTGTGTATGTTTCTATGTACAGGTAACTGCCAAAATAAAGGAAGCACCAACATAAAGTGTTTAAATATGGCGTTGGGCCACCACAAGCCGCCAGACCACATTCAATGTGCCTTGGCGTAGATTCTACATGTGTCTGGAACTCTTTTGGAGGGATGCGGCACCATTTTTCCACGAGAAATTCCATAATTTTGTGTTTTGTTGATGGTGATGGAAAATGCTGTCTCAGGCCCTGCTCCAGAATTTCCCATAACACACACACACACACACACACACATACACACACACACACACACACACACACACACACACACACACACACACACACACACACACACACACACACACACACACACACACACACACACACACACACTTTAATTCCCCTATGCTCCTTTGAGACCCCTCTTTCAAAGTTACTGAGCTCTCTTTTTCTATCCAGTAATGGGCAACTGGGCATTTTTATACATGACCCTAAGCATGATGGGATGTTCATTGCTTAATCCACTCATAAACCACATCTGTCTGGAAGCACATGCTTTCAATATACTTTGTATCCCTCATTTACTCAAGTGTTTCCTTTATTTTGGCAGTTATCTGTAAGTACAGCACAGTGTGTAGAAATGAACATAGAAAGCAAAACAATCACTTATTAAAAGCCTGGCTAAAAAGGTGGGTTTTCTAAAGTGATTTATGACAGTGTCCTTGGTGTTTCCTCCCCAGCTGATTTCTTCCACCAGCTGTCCCAGGCCCTAGAGGTGCTGACTGACTGATGCTGCTGCCAGGGTAAGACTTCTGTCCGTCTGTCCGTCTGTCTGTCACACACACCATCCATACCACCACCAGACCCTCTTTCCCTCTTCTCTCAAACTGTCCTCCTCTCCTCTGTCTCAGGCTGCTTACGATAAGATCTGCACTGCTAAGAAACAAGCGGAGGAGAGAAATAACAAGCTAGATGCTAAGAGGAAGAAGATCAAGCTAGGTGAGCCCCAGACCTATGCCTGCTACAACTCAACAACCCCTCCCCTAAAAACACAAGACTGGCTATCAGGATGATGCTAACTGCGTGTGTGTGTGCGCGCGTGCATGTGTGTGTTTCTGTGTGTGTACGATTTTCACAGACTTGGAGGCCAGGGAACGCCAGGCTGAGGCACATAGTGCAGAGCAGTTCCAAAACATCAGAACACTAGAGGAGGAGGTAAGAAAGACGCAACTCCACAGCATCCTGGTTTCCTGCTCTGACCCTAGAACAGATCATACAGGCACGGTTCACTTTCAATGTCAATCCCTCAACCACACACATGGGCCTTGAGCAGTGAGGTGGATAAAACCATTCCAGGCATCCTGGAGAATGGATAAAAAAAACTATAGGCATCCTGGAGGATGCTTAGCTCACCCTACTCAACCTCCTGAACACAGCCACACACAGTCAGCCCTAGAGTACAGTTGTTCCAATCACTGGCTTAGTGAAGGTAACACACACACAGCCACCTCTATTCTCCTCGGCCCTCACACCCTCTCACACAGCCACCTCTACTCTCCTCGGCCCTCACACCCTCTCACACAGCCACCTCTACTCTCCTCGGCCCTCACACCCTCTCACACAGCCACCTCTACTCTCCTCCTCTCGGCCCTCACACCCTCTCACACAGCCACCTCTACTCTCCTCGGCCCTCACACCCTCTCACACAGCCACCTCTACTCTCCTCGGCCCTCACACCCTCTCACACAGCTGAGCCTATTATGGAGCTAATATCATAATGCACGCTTTCACAGGTTTCCTTTGATTGACCTTGTATAATACACACTTTCACGTTTCCTTTGATTGACCTTGTATAATACACACTTTCACGTTTCCTTTGATTGACCTTGTATAATACACACTTTCACATGTTTCCTTTGATTGACCTTGTATAATACACACTTTCACATGTTTCCTTTGATTGACCTTGTATAATACACACTTTCACATGTTTCCTTTGATTGACCTTGTATAATACACACTTTCACATGTTTCCTTTGATTGACCTTGTATTATACACACTTTCACATGTTTCCTTTGATTGACCTTGTATAATACACACTTTCACATTTTACCTTTGATTGATTTGATTGACCTTGTAAAATACACACTTTCACATGTTTCCTTTGATTTACCTTGTATAATGCACGCTTTCACGTTTCCTTTGATTGACCTTGTATAATACACACTTTCACATGTTTCCTTTGATTGACCTTGTATAATACACACTTTCACATGTTTCCTTTGATTGACCTTGAAATTCACTAAAGACTTGAGCAAATAACAAAGCCTCAGCCATATCTCATAGAAAAGTCTTCATTCATTGCCATATCATTATTACCAGTAATTCCCATTAGGTTATATTGCATGACTTGATACACTTTTGCTAGATAAATAAAAGGTTTGGGATGCTTTTCATGTGAGTCACGATGACTTGGACTCAACCTGTTAAATGCATGTAATTATGGGCCATGTGTTGACTGACTGACGGACGGACGGGGAGTGATCACCAGTAGGTGGCAGTATTCTATTCTCAGTATAGTAATGAGCTGGTGGTACTGTACATTGGTTGGTGTTACTGCAGTTCATATGGTGGTGGATTACTGTCCAACCAAGTAAAAGACCAGGGTCCGTAATCGGCATAGTAAAACCGCTGATTCATTTATGATTTAAAGGACAAAACTGATCCTAGATCACTACTCCTACTCTGAGACACTTTGTGAATACCGGCCCAGAACCTATCCTTGAGAGAAGGATGTTCCTTGTTGTTAACCCTGGGGTAATTGTCCTGTCAGATTGCCCGTCTGCGAGAGGAGGGCTCCAGGCAGCTGCAGGAGGAACAGAGGCTGATCAAAAAACAGATCCAGAGGAAGAGAGAAGCACAGCTCCTCAACACAGGCACAGCAGACTACACAGATACAGGTACACTACTCAACCACACCAGTCACTCAACATTGCAGTACATTTTACTGTCTTGTTACCCACAGAGTTTGGATTAGAATGTTCATTCTATTTCTATGGCTGGCACACTTACCATATAACCGTGTAACCGACGGTTATGGATGAAGACTGTCATGAAAATAAAATAACCATCATAACCGTAAAAAACATCTATATTTTTGGAACGAATAGCTGACTGAAGACGGGACGGACAAGCATTTGTGCGGTTGAGTCCGTTTCTGCAATAACATGGACTCTTAACAACATGATGAAACTCTGTTGCTCCTTGATGAAACAAGCAAGGTGTTGTAGGAAATGATGAATAGAAAGGGCTTGGAACCTCTCACCCTGGCAAGGGCCACTAGTCCAAGGGCCACCCACCAAAAAAGGCTTCAAAAAAGGCATTCCGTGACTCAGGAGACAAAACGGCAAAGTTTCAACATCATTACGTAGATCATTTTATGAATATGAACACTGTGTGGTTCACAACTTGTAAAAGTTCCACATTAATAAAATATTATAAATCAAAGGTACAATTTCAAAATTATAGTGCATTTTGTCTAATTTCCCCTCACAACATTGAGGTTGCCATGTTACACCTTGGTTACAATTGTCCATGCTTGCAGAAAGCAACTTATGTACTGGACCGAAGGAATCCCAAAATAATACGAAATAAGAAGCTGTGCTAAATGGATTGTTCTCAGATGCCAGAACAGCGCTTTATGTAGCTGTCGGGACCTTGAATGTTTTAAGAGCTGTGTTAGACAGCAAACGTTGTGCGGTCTTTAGTTTGGCTAGTAGGCAAAAGCAATGATGGCCCTTGTAGGCTAAACACAGCTGCCAAAACGTCTTCTATTAACTGAGAAAACCACTGTACATGTTTAAAACATATATTTCCTCATTTCTGGGTTCATCTGGATCAGTGAAAGACCGGTAACATGTTGCTTGAGCTTATGCAATGATGAACACAGAACGCACAAATAACCAAGGTGAAACATAGCAACGTCGGAACATTGCTAGGGAAATTACATAAGATGTGCTATGATTTCGTTGAAAAAATGTGTACCTTTGATTAAAAACAACACATTAATGTGCAACTTTTACACATTTTGAACCACACGGTGTTCATATTCATAACGTTATCTACTTAATGTTGTTGAATTTTGCGATTTTGTTTACTGGGTCACGGAACAACCCATTTTTGGTGGGTGGCCCTTGGACTATCATGGGTTCACTCACAATGGCTGCCTGGTGTTGTGATGCAATTTCCATAGTACTGTGGAATGTTAATTGTGGCTCATGCAATGGAATGTAGTTTTTGTAATGTCAGTTTCTGCTTTTACTTCCTGCTTTGCCCCTATGGGTACACTCGAAATGGCCGCCAGTCCACCAATAATGCCATCATTGACTTCAATGGGGACGCCTGTTCTATTCACTCTATTTCTATGGCAGCACATGCAGTCAGGAGCAGAGGAAAGGTAGAAACGTTTTTTTGCTATTCTAACGGTTATTACAGAAACCCCGGTCATTTGGCTGGCCAATTACCGTCATCCAAAATTCCATGATCATCACAGCCCTATCTACTACCTCTAATAATATGCTCTTGCACATGGTGCTGTCTATCAGACCCACTGCTAAGCCCATCTACTGAACCAGGCCAGTCAACAGGGCAGTGAGCAGCCAGTCGGCCAGATATTACACAGTACACAGCTCATCTGGACAGAACAACAATGGCATGTTCTTTGACTTTGAATATGTTATGTTGCTTAGGTACACAACTCTTTGGAATATTAATATGAAAGGCCTATTTTTGTCCATTGGCAAATAAATAACCTGGCTGCATGATACAGACCTGACACATGCATATACTGCTTCATCATCTGGTCCACAAGGTATCCTTCTACATCTTAATATCATATGCATTTGGGGAAAAAAAGATGCTTGTTCTGGGTTGGAGCCATGAGAAACCATGCATGGTCTAATAAAGGGAGGTGAAGGGAGTCAGGATTGTTGGAGATGATGAGGTCTTGGCCTGGCCCCCCATTGCGGCTGCACACTAAGTCACGCAATGTCAGCACGTCTTCACCGAGATCTTCTCTGCTCGCACGATATTGGGCCTCTCCAGGCCTTTGTGGCGAGGCCTTCCTGGAACAATGCCCTGTTACGACTCTGGAGGCGCCCGGCAGGTCTGCAGGCTTGGGGCCGGGGTCGAGGCTAGTACAGTACTGTGGAGAGATGAACAACCCAAGACTGATCATGTATGACCTGCGGTGATGCGAGACAACCGATCCTGTCTGTCTCCCAACGGAGGGACAACAATGTCTTGACCACTGTGACAAAGCCCTCCCCATCCTCGACCAACCGCACGTCTCATTCGTCTTTCGAGATTTTTTGTCTGCCTGAATGAATAATTGTTTCTTTGTCTTTCTTTCTCTCTGTCGCTCCCTTTCCTTCGCTCTCTTCCAGACTCAGCAGTTGGAAGGCATTCCAAGAGCAACGTGACCCCCAAATTAAAAGTAAGTTATAATATTGCTTTTAGTCAGGGGATTGGAAGAGGGGTCAGTATTTAGGGTGTTGAGATTCTTGGCGAATGAACAAGAGAGGAGGGGGGAGGAGAGGGAGAAGAGAGTCTTCATACTGGTTTCCTCCTGAGGAATCTCTGAAGTGAGTGGCCGGAACCTACTAAGGTATTTTGTTTGTAAGTGGTTTATGATGGAAACCAAGACATTTGGGATATAATGGAGAGTACCTACACTCCTCCACCTCTGCCCTGTTTCTCTGTCTGTTCCTCTCCTGCAGTGTACTGTAGGCCATCGTCAGGAGTTTACTCTGGAAACTATTCAATCCCCATCTATTAATGGGACACTGGGGAAGTTAGCTAATGTGTTTATGTATTTAATCTTGTTAAAACGTCTGATACCCATCAAGAGCGGTGTATCCCCCAAAGAAGATTGTGTGTTTGGTTAGGAAAACAAACGTCAGGGCTGAGTGTTGAGTCTTGCTACGGTATTAAACATATTGTATTCACGTACTGTACATGTGAATATTATTCCATACATTGCTCTAAGGGGCAGTTGTATCTGTTAGCTGGGAACACGCAATAAGTCAATATCAAAGTCAGACGTCAGTTTGTAATTTTGTTATAGAGCAATATTGATAGATGTAAATTAATGACATCTGTGTCTTTTTTAAACTACAACATTCAAGCAATATTGTTTCTGGCCCTAGAGCGTTGTTCTAATACAACAGGCTCAATTCTGGGTATGTTATCAGTCCTTTATCTTTCAATCTGAGCCAGAAAAAAATAGCCTTATATTTAAATTTCCCCTCAACAGAAATGTTGATCATTTTGACTAATATTTTCGGATGTTATTTCGGGGTAGAATAAAGTCCAAAACTACTGGGGGACATTGACTCTTATGTTTCTAACGGTCTTCATACAGTAGATTTCAACAGTGCTATTTGGAAGTTGACCATAAACCATTCTTGTCCTCCCCGGTATGGGGAGAGTGAAATATGACCTCTGATTATGCATTGTTATTTTTTTGTGTGAGGGTATTTGTTTTTGTTCTTAGATCTTTTGTTATTTGCGGCTTGCAAGCATGGGTATTAAATGTACCAGAGAAGTTGGGTACTGCCAGGGAACTCCAATCTCTTTAAAGTTGTTTAGATTGCCAGTAACATATACCGTAGCAACGTGCTGGAGCGGCCTGAACATTTGGGTATCACCCAAGATCTGCTCCGCCTTGTTAAAGGATTAATGGGGTACAAGGTTATCGTTGGGTAGAGGAGAACGGCCTTGGAAGGAGAAAGCACATTTTGGAAATAATTGTTAAAAAAAGAAATATGAAGTGAACAGAGTTCTGGTCTGGACCTGGTCTGGCCCTCGCTGCTTGTCATTTATAATTCTGCTCCAAATAGTTAGCGAGATAAGGTCTTGACCCTGCTGGGTTATGAATGGAATTAACCTGTTACATAACATCTTACTCAGAGAGCTAGGCGCTGGGAAGAAGAAACAATTACAATTTCAATGCTGTAGAGTTTACATACAGTGAATTGAGTAAACTTTCAGTTGTCAGCCAACATTAGAGATCATGGCTTTATTACATGGTATTGGCTAATAATGACCAGAGCTAACTAGGGGTTTGCTCAGTATAACTCTCACATATTTCTGTGTGAATGAGTGACCCTCACGTTAGCTGCATGCCACACGTATATGTCTAGCAGCAGGTGAGCAGGTGAGTCAATGTGGTGTCTCCGGTCCAGGGCCCAGTCTGACCTGTGTTTATTTTAGCCTTCCCCTAGGCATGTAAAGCTGAATGGAAATTGACTGCAGGTCTCCCAGGTGGTGGAGGTGGGTATGCTCCAAGAGCTAAACAATGTCCCCCTGGAGCGCTGCTCTGCTCTGCTCCTTGGCCTGGCAAGGGCTCATTCCTGCTTAATCTATGCTTGTCATCAGAACGTATATATATATATATTTTCTCGCGGGGGCTGCAGGAGTGCGTGCTACACCACTGCTTATAACTATAAATTAAGTATAACTTTAAGAAATCTAAGATGTTTCAAATGATATCCAGCTCAGGGCTCCAGCTATGCATTTGGTTTGCTAACTTGCTAGCTAAGTGGCTAGATGCCAAGATCAAGCTTCTTAGTTACAGCAGAGACATTCAATCCCCTCTTGGATCAAGATCCCTGTTGCCCCCCAAAAATTGTGTGGAAAAAAATAAAATAAATGCACCCCTTGTGTGCACTTCCGGTAATACCGTATACCCTGGTATGTTACAGAACTGGTATGACAGTAGGAAAATCTGGATACCGCCCAACCCTATCCATAAACCAAGACTGGCAGCTTTGGAAAACATTAGTACAGGCCCCATGTAAGTAAGTAAGTAAGTAAGTAAGATCCATAACCAAAGGTGGGTTATCTGTCTCTCGGTTTTTCTCTCCTAACTTTTTTTTATTTCTTCCTTTCAGTTGAAGTGGAAATGTAAAAAGGAGGATGACACCAACGCCGGCTACTCTCAATACTTCATTTTTAGCCTTCTGTCAAAGGTGGGTGCCTTGAACGTGAATCACCAAATATCACCACACGGCTACGATTCAAAAGGCCATCGCCATTAAGTTGGCACACAGTTATTAAAGAGAGCAACAGTTTCTCACACCTGCATCTTTTGGAAGGAGCTAAGACTCCTACTGTATGTCTCATATCAAATGTTCTTATTTGAATGTGTAATGTCGCAGAAGAGACACTAGTTATGTAATCATACTTGTAGAATATAGCTCTCAATCTATGTGGTGTAAGACCGTCTGTGATGGCTTGTCCCCTGCTGCATCACATTTTTTACATTTTACATTTTAGTCATTTAGCAGACGCTCTTATCCAGAGCGACTTACAGTTAATGAATACATTTTTTATTTTCGTTTTTTAATTTTTTATACTGGCCCCCCGTGGGAAACGAACCCACAACCCTGGCGTTACAAACGCTATGCTCTATCAACTGAGCTACATCCCTGCCGGCCATTCCCTCCCCTACCCTGGACGACGCTGGGCCAATTGTGCGCCGCCCATCACAGACCTGTATCTTTCTGTGAAGGCTTGTCCCCTGCTGCATCACAGACCTGTATCTTTCTGTGAAGGCTTGTCCCCTGCTGCATCACAGACCTGTATCTCTCCCCAACTCGCCTGTAATGAGACCTGCCTGGTGTCCAGCTCGCTTTTGAGCTCTGCATGATATCAGTGTTTTAGATGGTTTTATTTTTCCCTTTATACAAGCCCCATTTAAGTTTTGTAGCCGTGAAAGTGCTTAGGGCAATGCAGTGCCCTCTTAAAGTGGTGCATGCCATTGTTAGTGCCCCTGTTACTGGGCGGGTTTAGCAGTGCCAGGGGAGTCGCTAGGAAATGTGCTCTTCTCATACAACCGTGTACCACCTCGAACTGCAACAAGCTAATGGGAGTTTTGGTGTGGCGTAGGTAGGGCAGGAATGAGGATAGGGCAAGTCCAAGTGTCACTGACGTCAAACGGAAGGAAAACATGCGTTCCTCCGCACGCACTCAATCAATGTTCAGTCAGGCGTGGGAGGCTGGGTCAAAGGATTGTGGGAAAAGGGGTGTTGTTGTTTTTGCTAAAGTAAAGAGAGTGACATTTAAAAAACAATTTAACGCTATTTGCAATGGTGAGCTTCTCCGATGAGTGGCAGGTAATGCTTGAGTAGGAGTAGCCGCCCATGTGTGGGAAAGGGGACTGTGTGTGTGTTTTGGACTCACACAACCTTACGTCTGCTCTGGAGGGGAAAAAAATACATATTAAAATATTTTGATTTATGAAATAGGGGTCTACAGAGACTCCCGTTTGTCACTGTTGGCACGCTGTGGAGTGTCCTCCACGTCCATTAGCATTCCTGGCCTGTCCTTTTCCCAGAGAAGCAGATTCCTGGTAATGGAATTCTCAGAGGCGTCCTTGCCGGGACTCTGCTCTCTAGAAGTGGGCTTAATGAGAGAGGCCCTGTATTTCAGGTGACATACTGTATCAACCGTGGGCCCTGTCTGCTGCAGGCCTTTACCCAGAGGAGCCCAGCCTCCATCAGCCAAGAGCCCCACTGTAATTATAAGTGCAGCTGAGAGAGATCAGCTTTTACTGCTGTCAGAGACCTAGTCCAAGTCCTGTCTCCTCTCTCTCTCTCTCTCTCTCTCTCTCTCTCTCTCTCTCTCTCCTCCCTCCTCTCGCCTCTCTCTCCTCTCTCTCTCTCTCTCTCTCTCTCTTCCTCGTCTCTCCTCTCTCCGCTCTCATCTCGTCTATCTCTGCATACTCCTCCTCCTCTCCCTCTCCCTCTCCCTCTCCCTCTCCTCTCCTCTCTCTCAGGTCAGTGGTTGACCCAGGCTGGACTGTTCCTCCCCTGTACTCCTCTGCATCTGACTTGTACTGGCAGGCAGCTGGACAAGGGCCTTGGCTAATTTCAGTTTATACCAAAACATGTTTTATTGACTTTTCTCACCACACATAGAGTAGGCTTACTGAAGAAGTCCAGGATACTGTCTTGATACTTGGAACATGCTAAAAGTAGTTTAGGATGAAGTGTCCCAGACATTCCTCTTAGAAATGTTACTGAGGTTGACATTTTCTGGAAATGAATCATAAAAAAAATTCATTAGGGTAGGTTTCATGTAATTTTGAAGTCACATTTAGGGATAATATAATGTTTATCATTCTCTCTAACAATATGGGTCCCTCCCACTATCTCTCAAGGGACCAAATCACAGTATGTCCGACCTATAGTTGTTATTGTGTAACTTGAAAACATTACAAGTGTATACTCTAACATTGTCATTGGAGGTGGTGGTCCATAAACTGATGTGATACACTGTGGAGTTTAAGCTTTAGAGTCCTGTCCGGTCATCCGTTGGGTTTTCCTTGCTGATTTAATGATTCCCATTTTTCTGGCTCTGTGTTCTACTCTGAGAATACATTGTGTACTAACTGTCTCTGTTTCTGTGTCTCTTTCAGTATGGCAATGTTTTAAATGTTCTCATATCAAGTAAGAAGAGAGGAAGTGCTATGGTAGAATTTGAAACCGTAAAAGCAGCTGTAAGTAGTTTGTTTCATAAATGATACACACTCATCTAATTTCGTATTGAAAAGTCACTGAAATCAGTCAATACCCACCAGCTTTTACTGATTGGCCATTTTTTACCATTTGGTTTGCACTGAGCACTCTGCGTCTCAACAACTTCCCAGCCCAAGGCCCGTAGTTTTCCACACACATGATGACTTTCTCCTCATCTTGTAGTGTCTCTGTGACAGAACAGAGGAGTTGACAGAACATAGTGTTCTGATAGGAACCAGGAGGATATAAGGGCTGAGCCGCCTCATTGTTCAGACCGTCTGAGTCCTCTGCCCCTTTGCTGTCGCATGCTGTTTTGTTGTGGGCTCTGGTGCACTGTGTGGTTCCCCTCAACAGAACATATCTGCTGTCCCCTGGGGAGCCAGACTCCGGGCCTGCGGTCTCCGTCTCGCTGTCTGGAGATCTCGGGGTCCCTACGCTGCTTGGGGGGGTTGGGGTATCTTAAGTTCACCCCTCATGAGTGTTTCAAATACACAAGACAAAACCCCACATAACGGCTGGGGTGGAAGACACAACAAACTCTATAGAGCTGAGAGGAGTAGAGAGGTTGATGTTGCTCCATTAGTGGTGCTGGGGGAAAGAATGGCCTGTCAGCAGATCATGTCACACTGGGGTCTAACTTTACTCTGTTGTTTCTCTCCAGGAACTGGCATATAAGAATGAGAGTGGCCTTACAGCAAACCCACTGAAGATCTCTTGGCTTGAGGGACAGCCTGAAGTCATCACCCCAGTGGTGTCGCAGGTTCAGCAAACATCTGGACAGTACTTCCCACCTAAACAGGTATGTAACCAGGGGCAACCGCCACCACAAGCAGGGCAACCTCTCCCCAACATGAATGTGTTTAGTCCTAATTATCCTTCTCTCCCATCAACGATAATGTAAGCCCTATGTTACCAAATATCTCCATGTTCTTAGCTTCCAATCCAAATAACATTTCCTAAACACCATCCCGCAAAGAGAGGTATGTAAACTTCTGCGGTTTTATTTTTGTATCAGCGAGAAAATATTGCCCATGCACTTGCACTCTCCTCGTCTGGCCCAGAAAGATGTGTTTGGTTAAATGGGCTTAGGTTTGTTTGGCTTGGAGAAGCAGTGTGTTGGCCGGCGCTGGCCCGATCCCTAGACCCTGGCCTGTCCCGCCTCTCATTAAGGCCTGACCCACCCGGGAGACCAATGGAATGCCTCACTCCATGAGAACCACACGGTAACCCAACACGACCAGCGTGCAGGCTGGCACGAGAGGGCGGCTACCCCTTTCTCTCTCTACCCAGAGTGGTGCTCACCCCAGCAGTCCATCTGCCCACCTTTTTGCTAATCTCCTGGTCGGCTTTCGAAACACACTGGCACTTTGGAGGCCTTTTCCAGTCAGAGTAATGTTGTAGCACAGTTGGGAAATGTAGGTGGAGGATGAAAGTGATCTGAGTCAGTTTGAGGAGTACAGGAAGTTTCAGCATCTCTCTGGTCATGAGCTAGACATGACTCAGTCTGTCTGTGTCCCTAATCACCATTACTTAGTTTCACTGCTGTGGTCATTTAGGCCTAATAATAATAACGCTGACTTTGTTTATAAAGAGCTTTTCCATACATTTCCTTTAAGCTGTGCTGTATTTGGGCTCGGTCTGCATGGTTTTAGACCGGTATACTCTCCCTCCCCAGAGCTGAGGATGGACTGTTTCACCTCTCAACCCACCACAGCACAGTGATTCAGGCCCCTCGTAGGGGTTAGCACACCACGCAGGGTTCACAGCACGGCCCGCGCACTGGAACTTGTCAGAGTAATGTTTTAATGTTATAATGGTAACCGGTTTTGCTGGTTAAAGATATCCGACGCAGATTGCTTCATCTCTCGCAGAGCTTTTCAGGGCAGAGAACGAAAACATGATTATGGCAGTGTAATTTTCACATTAGCCCTCAGTTAGAACGCTCCTCACTAAAGAGGCCCACATGACATAAAAATGGGGGATCCATGTGATATTAGGAAATAAGTCCCAAATAAGGGAAAGGGGGGGGGCAGGGGAGACAGGCGGGAGCGAGACAAACAGTGGAGAGTTGGGACGACGGGGGGGGGGCTGCGTGTGGAGACGAAAGAAAAAGGGAGAAGCGAGAGCGCAGCGCGCGCGCGCGGAGCGAGAGAAGAGAGAGGGAGAGGATGGGAGAGAGAGCGAGAGAGAGAGAGAGAGCGCGAGAGCAGAGCGAGGCAGCTCTTCTCTCTCTCTCTCTCTCTATCTCTCTCTCTCTCTCTCTCTCTCTCTCATCTCTCTCTCTCTCTCCTCTCTCGCTATATCTCACTTCTCCTCCTTTCCCCTTTGCTGCGTGCCTCTCTTACTCCTCTTTCGACGCCCCGCCGCGCGCGCGAGCGCGAGCAACCGAGGCGGACACGGGCGCCCGCTGGCGGCGCGGACCGGCGAGTAGGCCGCGCCCGCCCGAGACTCGACACCGAGCGCGCACGCGACCGCCACGAGAGCGGGAGCCCAGAGAAGAGCGCCGAGAACGAGCAGAGCAAGGACAGACCCGCAGGGGGGGAGCGCGAGAGCGATGAGAGCTCGCGCGCGGCGCAGCAGCGCGCTCGCGAGCTCAGGAGAGAGCGAGCGCGCGAGAGATCGTCGACGCTCGAATCGCGAGCGAAGGAGATGCGCAGTGGCGGCAGGCGACGCAGAGCCGGCGTAACGCTCGATCGCTCGACGCGAGAGACACAGCGCGCGCGATACCCCAAGGGCAGGCCGGGGTAGGAAAGCAGGCAGCTCGTCTCCCGTCTCCCGCTCCCGACTCTCCCGCGCGGCCCGCGCCCGCACCGAGCGCGCCCGAGCGCGCCAGAGCCCTATGCGCCCTCGTCCCGCGCGCGCGCGCCGCGTAGGGACGCGTCGTCGCCCGCCCGTTGCTGACAGTCTCCCTCGAGCGTTAGCACGCCTCTAGCATTGATGCCGCCCAGCGCCGCGGAACGAAGCGCGCCGCGGCGGGCGACCAGAGGGGAAAGATGGACGACGAGCGACAGCTGCGGAGACCGCACAGAGAGACAGAGCGAGCCAGAGCCAGCCGGAGGCGCGAACGCACGAGCAGAGCACCGCGCGAGAAAGCGAACCGCGAGAGCCCGGAGCGAGCCCGGAGCACGAGCAACCGCCTCGAGGATGAGCGACACAGCGCACCGGAGGCGGAACGAAGCAGCGCCAGCTGCTGTCCCCGCGCGTCTACCGACCTCTCGCAGCGACGCAGCACACGCCCAGATGCAAAAGAGAGCGAGCGCGCGCGAGCGGCGAGCTCGCGCGCGCGCGAGAGCGCGAGCGCGGCATGGCGCCCGCGGGCAAGCGGGGAGAAGCGAGGGTAGGACCGGGGGAGGACAGCGCCAGCCGCGCACAAGCAGAGCCACAGAGAGCGCTCGCGAGCGCGAGCGAGAGCGCGCAGCGCGCGAGAGAGAGTAGAGATGAGAGATCGAGAGAGACGAGAGAGAGCGACGAGCGAGCGCCGAAGGGCGGAAAGGTGGTAGAAGTAGACATGGAGCGTGCTATGGACTAAGAGGATGAGACCAGAGGGAGCAACCGACGGGCGCAACCGAGTGCTTCATTGCGCTAGTAGGAGGGAAAGGAGACAAGCCAGAGCTGCGCAAGAGGGACCGAAAGAGCAGGAAAGACAGAGCGCGCGGGCGCGAGCAATGGGCGAAGCTCTGGCGCCCGACCGCGTCGACCAGGAGCGAGCACGCGCCAGGCGCCGCGAAGAAAGAAGAGAGAAGAGAGGCGAAAGGAGAAAGAAGAGCGCGCACCGAGCAGAGAAAGAGAGTAGCAAAGCGCAGCCACGCACGAGAGGAGAAGAAGCACCAAGCAACTAGATGAACAGAGAGCGCGCGCGGCGAGCGCGCGAGCGAGCGGCGAGGAGCGGGAAGAAAGATGGGAAAGGGAGACAGCGGGCGCACAATGTGGACGGCCCGGGAAGCGCCCGCATGAGCACGAGAGCGCTCCCGAGCGTGCCGCCCAGGGCGCGACCGCGCGGGGCGCCGCAGGCCGGAGCGCCCTAGGGCGCGCGCGCGCCCTCCGAGCCCGCGCTTCCGCCCGAGCGCGCCTAGAGCGCGCCCGAGCCGAGACCGCGCGAGCCCGCGCCCGCGCCCCGCGCGGCGCCGCGCCACCGCCCGCGCGCGCACCGAGCGAGCCCGAAGCGGCAAGCGGGCGACCGCGGGCGCCCTGCGGCCGCGCGCGCACGATGACGCGACGCACGATCGCGCCCGAGGCGGCCGCCCGAAAGCGAGGCACGCGCGAGAAAGGCGACCAGAGCCAGCGGCCAGAGCCGCGCGCGCCCTGGAGAATCGCTCGCGAACAAAGCCACGAGAGAAAGCCGAGCGCGCACGGAGAATAGACGAGAGAGGGAGAAAGATTGGGAGAAAGATTGAAGAACGAGAAGGAGAACGAGCAACCGCTGAAGACCTACACGCGGGGGAGCGCGCCCGCGCCGGCCAGCGCCCGAGACAGCGGCGAACCCCAGCCCGCCAGGAGAGCGAACAGAGAGCCGACCTGAGCGCGCCCGAGACACGCTCCAGAGAAAGAGCACGGAAAAGAGAGCGCACGAGCCCGAGCGCGCACACAAAGAGAGCTAGAGCGACAGAGCACAACGAGAAACGAGACAGACAGAAGGTCGCCATCGCAAGAGAGGTCGCCACCGTACAACTCCGAGGAGCAAGAGCTTCTCTCTATCGCCTCTACTCCTAACTCCTATCACTATCTCCCTCTCTTCCCTCTCCTTCTCCCTCTCTTTCGCCCTCTCCCTCTCCCTCAGTGTGACCCGCTGCATGCTGATACCTGCTTCTTTAACCTAATCAATCCAGGGACGCACACGCATGACAGACACTATGCTCCACTCTGTTTAATAAGATAATCTGCTTACACTGGTCTGGGACCTGCTGCTGCACCTGGGTCCCCAGAGGTCCCTGGAGGCCCCTAGTATCACACACTCAACTGTAGCAAAGTTGATGAGACATGGATGAGTGCTGTTGTACTCCTGTGCTGAGTGATTTGAATGATACAGGCCCTCTGTAAGACATGGGTGTGTTGGGTCAGGCGTTTCACGAGTAGGGACACCATGCAGAGACAATACTGTAGGGGTGGTGGTCCATTCACAACGTTCTTCTTAACATAAATAACCAAGCAGGGTAAGGAACAGAGGCCATGATGCAGAGAATTGCTCCCCATGCTCCAGACTAATTCAACTCCCTTGTATTTGGATAGGATTTAGTTTCACCTCCTGAGTGTGCTATGTTTTGTATCACTGCACCGTGCCATAATAAATTCTCATGATGAGAGGCTGTAAAATATGTATAGTAAATCATTCTGTGCTGGTGCTGTTTTTCAAACAGTCGGTCTCTGTTGATGTTTGATGTCAAGTTTTATTGAATGGCAGTGTGATGTACATAGTCAGCTGTGTGTCTGTTCCTGAAATACTAAGTGGATTAATACGTAATCTGTTAAGAATAGACTATACTGTCGCTTACATATATGTAATGGTGGTGTGTGTTCATGGTGGTTTGCATGACAATGGAAAGTACACAGTTCAATTATGGTGGATGAAGTGTTCGAGCTGTCCCCCAGAACTCTTCACATTGCTGTCAGACTACAGGGATTCACACAGTGTCAATATGACTCATAGTTGTTCAGCCCTTACCTCCCAGAATTTCTGGAGTTTGGGGTCCACATCCAACCATCTGTATCCTCCCTATCAGAAGAACCTGTAGCATAATCATGTATTTGGAAATCATAAATCATTGCATCCCCAATTTAGAAGAATAGTTTAGCATATTGTATTTTTAGAGTATTTATTCTGATAAAGACGTATCGCAATACTTGATATGACTCTGTTTATTTAATCTTTGAGGAAACCTTTGACTTGTCATCTATTCTGGGATGTTTTTTTCCATCATATCGGACCTGGCTAGCTTCCTTCTGCTGAAGAAAGAGCACGCTCACCTAAAATAGCCCCCAAGTCTGTCTGGGCCCTGGGATGCTGAGCGTAGTCCTGCTACAGTTGGCAGCTGGTTGCAGCACTGTGCTCTTTCCGGACGGAGATAACAACTTCTAGTGTTCTGACTTCCTGAAAGAGGCCGTTTAGCGACGAAAGGACTAATGTAACAGATTGGTTAATTTACATCTGTTTCCAGCTGTTATCAGCATGAATTAATTTAACTGGGCTTTAGCTTAGACAGGGAATAGAGAGGGAGGTGGCGTGATAACTGGACTATCTCAACACGAGGTCTGAGAGCAATGGAGACCACCGCATTTTTCTTCATGGGTCAGTTAGAAGGAGCAAAAGGCCATGGGAGACTGTTTTTACATTGCTGACTCAGTGTTTTTCCCTTGATGTGGACTAAAGTTGAATTGAATCTCCTCAGACTTTTTTTGTGCTCTTCTTCAATCTACTGTAACACATTGCATATGAACTTGATCAAATCTCTTGCTTGTTTTAATAAGTGGATGCTAAACTTTTGAGATCTTTGATGGTTTTGGTCTTCTTCCCAAGGTTTTACGATGCCCAAGTGTATCATGGATATCATGTGAAGCAGTGCTATTGTGAGCTACCTTGGCCCTAAATGTGTCTTTTAAATGGGGGAGAAATGTGTGAATCGTTGGCTCTGAAATGTGTCCTGACACTATGCAGAGTTCAATAAACAATATCAGTTTCAGAAACGGAATGTCTCAGTTGTCAAAACAATATTTCCACCAAAAAACATAGCAGATTACATTTTTTGGGGGATAAAAGCCTCTGTCTTTTGTAAGATGGCAGGCTTTCGTGGTATGAGTTTGAAATTTGAGGGAAAAGTGGTACCAGATATGATGGGGTACCTCACAGTTTAAAATGTTTGGCCAGTTTGCACTGCGCCAAGATAATTTGTCTTCCAATTACAGACTCTTTCTTCTCACATCAGCCTTGTGAGTTTGGGCGCTTGTTGAGAATAACTTTATGTGACTTCTCGTGTGGAGGAGCCCAGTGCAGACGATGGGGTGTCGTACGGTCCAAGGACAGTCTGTGTGGCGTGCGTGTCTGTGGCGTGCGTGTCTGTGGCGTGCGTGTCTGTGGCGTGCGTGTCTGTGGCGTGCGTGTCTGTGGCGTGTGTGTCTGTGGCGTGTGTGTCTGTGGCGTGCGTGTCTGTGGCGTGCGTGTCTGTGGCGTGCGTGTCTGTGGTGTGTGTGTGTCTGTGGTGTGTGTGTCTGGTGTGTGTTTCTGGTGTGTAGGTGGCGTGCGTGTCTGTGGTGTGTGTGTCTGGTGTGTATGTGGCGTGCATGTCTGTGGTGTGTGTGTGTGTATGTGGCGTGTGTGTGTGCGTGTTCTGTTTGTGTCTGGGTGCTATGGTATGATGGAGGAAGGAGACATTAGATCCAATGTCCCAGGGCGTGTTATGCCATTGAGGAGAGTCTGGGTAAGAGGTCATGTACAGTGAGGGAAAAAAGTATTTGATCCCCTGCTAATTTTGTACGTTTGCCCACTGACAAAGAAATTATCAGTCTATAATTTTAATGGTAGGTTTATTTGAACAGTGAGAGACAGAATAACAACAACAAAATCCAGAAAAACACATGTCAAAATTTTTATAAATTGATTTGCATTTTAATGAGGGAAATAAGTATTTGACCCCTCTGCAAAACATGACTTAGTACTTGGTGGCAAAACCCTTGTTGGCAATCACAGAGGTCAGACGTTTCTTGTAGTTGGCCACCAGGTTTGCACACATCTCAGGAGGGATTTTGTCCCACTCCTCTTTGCAGAACTTCTCCAAGTCATTAAGGTTTCGAGGTTGACGTTTGGCAACTCGAACCTTCAGCTCCCTCCACAGATTTTCTATGGGATTAAGGTCTGGAGACTGGCTAGGCCACTCCAGGACCTTAATGTGCTTCTTCTTGAGCCACTCCTTTGTTGCCTTGGCCATGTGTTTTGGGTCATTGTCATGCTGGAATACCCATCCACGACCCATTTTCAATGCCCTGGCTGAGGGAAGGAGGTTCTCACCCAAGATTTGACGGTACATGGCCCCGTCAATCGTCCCTTTGATGCGGTGAAGTTGTCCTGTCCCCTTAGCAGAAAAACACCCCCAAAGCATAATGTTTCCACCTCCATGTTTGACGGTGGGGATGGTGTTCTTGGGGTCATAGGCATAATTCCTCTTCCTCCAAACACAGCGAATTGAGTTGATGCCAAAGAGCTCGATTTTGGTCTCATCTGACCACAACACTTTCACCCAGTTCTCCTCTGAATCATTCAGATGTTCATTGGCAAACTTCAGACGGGCCTGTATGTGCTTTCTTGAGCAGGGGGACCTTGCGGGCGCTGCAGGATTTCAGTCCTTCACGGCGTAGTGTGTTACCAATTGTTTTCTTGGTGACTATGATCCCAGCTGCCTTGAGATCATTGACAAGATCCTCCCGTGTAGTTCTGGGCTGATTCCTCACCGTTCTCATGATCATTGCAACTCCACGAGGTGAGATCTTGAATGGAGTCACGGGCCGAGGGAAATTGACAGTACTTTTGTGTTTCTTCCATTTGCGAATAATCGCACCAACTGTTGTCACCTTCTCACCAAGCTGCTTGGCGATGGTCTTGTAGCCCATTTCCGCCTTGTGTAGGTCTACAATCTTGTCCCTGACATCCTTGGAGAGCTCTTCGGTCTTGGCCTTGGTGGAGAGTTTGGAATCTGATTGATTGATTGCTTGTGGACAGGTGTCTTTTATACAAGTAACAAGCTGAGATTAGGAGCACTCCCTTTAAGAGTGTGCTCCTAATCTCAGCTCGTTACCTGTATAAAAGACACCTGGGAGCCAGAAATCTTTCTGATTGAGAGGGGGTCAAATACTTATTTCCCTCATTAAAAATGCAAATCAATTTATAACATTTTTGACATGCGTTTTCCTGGATTTTTTTGTTGTTATTCTGTCTCTCACTGTTCAAATAAACCTACCATTAAAATTATAGACTGATCATTTCTTTGTCAGTGGGCAAACGTACAAAATCAGCAGGGGATCAAATACTTTTTTCCCTCATTGTAGATCTAGGCACCAGGTTTGACAATGATGTTATGGATGCTGATGAAGCATGCTAGGTGGGCTTTCATAGGATTAGGTGGAAGGTGGGAAAGGAAGAGCCATTGACAAGAGAAGAATAGGGAACCATAATGTATGGTCCTCCTTTCCTCTCCTGAGCAAATTATATCAAGAGAGTTGTTAACCTAGAAAGCCAAGACGTCAATCTGATATGGCCAAGGGAAACTGTCAGTTAACGTTCATTATGAATGGATTACTTGTTCTGCTGGTCCAGGATAAGTGGAGAATAAAGGTTGACTTCATCAAGCCACACCTTCATCTATTCAGTAACCTTGCTGTGATGCAGGTGTGGTCAACACTGCATCATAACCATTCAGTACTTCCCTCAAGCTCCAGTTCATTGTAATAGAAGTAACTTTCAAAGTCAAACCTGTGAATGAGTAGATGGTTGATTTGGCTTGGAATGTCTGTCTGTATGTGCCCATGTGTCAGTATCTGACATGGACTACTTTACCTCTAGCCGTCTCATGTAATGTAAGGGTGTAATTCCTCATCAAACAGTAAGTGTAAAGTGTGACAGACAGGGCTTTAATATGGCCTCTACGGCGCCTCATGACTGTTAGAAAATCAAACATATCTGTCAGTCCATCAAACTGTGTAAGCAGTGTTATACAAGCCATCTAAAATGTTGATGCGAGTAATTCTATCCCCAACCACTGATCTTGTAATTTGACAAGGGTAAAATAAGTTACTGTACACACTGGTCTAAAAGAGTGTTTCACAATGTGTTATTATTCTCATAAAACGTACAATATACTGAAAGCCATAACAATTCGTTTTACTGAAAGATGCACAGATGTACCCACAAACATCAGTGCCTCCATTTGATTGTTCCAGGCTCTGTCGCAACCGGCCGCGACCGGGAGACTCATGGGCGGCGCACAATTGGCCCAGCGTCGTCCAGGGTAGGGGAGGGAATGGCCGGCAGGGATGTAGCTCAGTTGATAGAGCATGGCGTTTGCAACGCCAGGGTTGTGGGTTCGATTCCCACGGGGGGCCAGTATAAAAAAAAAAAAACATGTATTCACTAACTGTAAGTCGCTCTGGATAAGAGCGTCTGCTAAATGACTAAAATGTAATGTAAATGTAATTGTTAACATGCTATTGCTAACGCTGTTTAACTGTTTGTTAGCAGCAGGACACTCATGTCTAGTGAAGTTCTCTGTAACGCCTCAAGGATCCCTGGAATGTAAAAGCTTGTAGCTTTGCCCCACCGCTTTCCTTTCCTGACAGCCCCCCGCTGTGGTGCTGGCTGTGGCTCTCTCCCAGCCCCCCTGGCAGGTGGGTAAGTGGGCCCAGGACTGGGGGTGGTGGGCAGTGCTTCAGGCCCTGTTTGTTCAGCAGGTAGTGTTTAAACCCTCATCAGGACCCTTGCTGGTAATGGATGGCTCTGGTCCCCAGCCTTCTCGGCCCCAGCAGCACATGTGGAAGTATCACATTACCCCTCGCCACCTTCCCTCTCGCGCTACTCACCAGAGCGAGGGACTCCGATTAACAGCTAAGAAAACGGCACTGGGGTTTTGAGGCTCGGACCTGTGGCCTGAGTTGCAGCCCGCCAACCACTGGCTTTATTGGAAGCAGAGCTAAGTGTTTGTTTTCATTGTGTTGTTGGAAAAGAGAGACGGGGTGCCTTCGTGCACCTTCAAGTGGGGCCTCTGAGATGCGTGCGGAGGAGAGATTGCCCTCCCCACACAACAGAATGGCAAGGACGCAAAGTCGTCACAGCTTCAGGACCTTGGAAAACGTTTTTTTTTCTTTCTTTCTTTAACATAACATAACATTCTTAAGTCTAACAATCCCCTCGAGAGCTCTGTAGGATGGAGCTGGGTTTAAACTAAGAAAGGTGAAAAAGCAACCAACTGAAAATGCCCACTTTACTTTGAACAGCTTGAGATAAAAAAAGGTGCTAAATTATTAACTAGACTATGTAACATTTTATCTAATGCTGCAACAGGTAATGCTAGAAGAACATTAACTTTGCCCCTTAAAGCGTATGTGGTTTAACCCCTCACAGGGAATAATTCCAACGTTAACCCTTAAACATCACAATAGATAATAAAAACAACAGATGGATATGATTAAGAAATGTTCAACAAATTAGCGTATAACTCAAACATGACGTTCTGAAATGATAATCTACTGTACATTTTTTTGAATAATAATAAACTGAAATGAGAGAAGGGATAAGTTAAAACAGAAGTCCATGTACTGCCTCTTATTCTTGTCCATTGTTTAGATCAGTGTTTCCTGACCTTTTTTGGTTACTGTACCCCAAATTACATTTTGCTCTGACCCGGAGAACCCACAAAGTACCCCCTCATGTGCATTTTACCAGTAGGCCTATGGTCTTATGAGTCTTCCCAAGTACCCCTTGTGGATAGCCCAAGTACCCCAAGGGGTATACAGTGCATTCAGAAAGTATTCAGACCCCTTGACTTTTTCCGAATGTTGTTACGTTACAGCCT